AAATTTCGAATTTGTTTGAGGTACAAAATATTGTGAGATTTTCCATCAGCTAAAACAGAGTTATTTAACTCTTTTGTGGAAACTCCGGTCGATGACCCAATTAATCCTGAGATGAAGTTATGTAAACGAAAATCGATTTGTTATGTGAGTGAATTCTAATTTGTTGACGGGACATATTTTCATACATTCATTTAGGGCTCGCAAAGGGCTTCGGGTTGGCCCGGACCGGACCGAAATCCGACGGTTCGTTCCCGGATTGGGCCATCCGCCAATCCGGACCGAAAGTTTCGGTCCGGTCCTCGGTCCGGTTTCGGATCAGCTTTTCAAGGACCGGACCGGACCGCCGGTTTTCGGTCCGCCCGAATTTTTTGGCGCGCAAGAAAATTTTAATACTTTGACCTAAGATTTTTGAATTTTTTCAGCTAAACTCATGAATTTTCAGTGTATTCATATTCTATGTTACATAGATTTCAAAAGTTCTCCACATGATCCATTGGAATTACGTTTTCTAGGTTTTAAAGTTTTTACGCTCCTTGATTTTGGGAGGATTTTATAAATTCCTACTCTTGGTAATGTATTTTTAAAATTAAAAAAAGGTACAAAATGAGCCAAAAGTGCAAGTCTTGTTCGCATCGATTTCACCGAATTGCACATAAAAAATTACAAATTCAGTTTTGGGTGGGGGGATCAATATAGCATAGCTGTTTTTGAATTATATGCAACCACCCCCCCTTCAAAAATCGGGAAAAGAAATTGTCAAAAATGAGAAGGTCAATGTACACTCGGTACAAAAAGAAATACATGCCAACTTGCATTTGACATTTGACTTCCCTCATGAGTATGGACATTTTGATGCATCAAGACTTTCAAAATTCGAAAATTGGCGGTTTTTCGACCTACATATAAATCGTTAAAAAAGTGACCTTAGCGGTCATTTTGCGGCTGACAACCTGATGCCAGATTTTTCTCCTTCAGAAGTGTTACATTTTCAGCTTTTGTTGTCCGCTGCAAAATGACCGCTACCATGACTTTTTTGGGGTCAAAGTTTCTGAGGGAGGGGGCTAATATGGCAAGAGCCGTAGCAAGCTTATGAAAGCTTATGAAATAATGATGTAGATAATTGCAATTTTGGAAGTTATTAAAATAGCCTCAAATCCCGCCAAATTTAAAACTGAATTTATAATGAAGATATCCCATCTAATTAAATCTGAAACATTTGGCATTCTGGTTGTATATACCTACTTGTACCATATATGTCTTACGCATAGTTACATAAGACATTTATGCATAATTCGTGTATAAATCTCAATGCACTATTTACACATATACTATATGTGGTCATTTGAATACTGTACTATGGGTGTTTATACTATAATGATATATTTTTCGGTCCGCCCGGATTGACCGGTCCGGTCCTGGTCCGGTCCCGGTCCGGTCCTGGTCCGGTCCCGGTCCGGTCCTGGTCCGGTCCCGGTCCGGTCCTGGTCCGGTCCCGGTCCGGTTCTGGGCCGAGCGGAAATTTTTCGGTCCGGTTTCGGATTGGTGGTTTCGGTTATCGATTTCGATTATCTCGATCCGTTCTCCTGATATCCTGCTGACAGACAGACGGACAGACAGACAGACAGACAGACAGACAGACAGACAAAGTCTTCACATAAAGTAGCTGAAGCTACTTAATAAGCATTACTTTGTCTCACCAGTAATTAAATGAGCGAACAAAGTAATTTTGGAACGCAATTGGTAACGAGAATGCTGGGTCCCTGTGGCTCTCAATGCAAATTGCCCCATAGAGGAGACAAAGAAGGAAGCGGAGCAACGGTTGCATGCATGAATTTTCTGCATGAGTCTCACTTCGCTTGCACGTGACTTTCACGTACGCTTTCCATCAATCTCAAATTAAATGTCTTTGTATATTTGCAGTGTGCAAGTAAATTGAGTGAGTGAGCAGTATACATAACTCATCAATAGTGGTTATCATGATAAGTGATCTTGATAAACACTATTAATTAATTATTTTAGTTTGAGAAACTCCACCCACAGCGAGTGGCATATCAATTCGAATGTATTTTTGACGCTGAATCCGAATCCGTCAATAGCTTGGCGTTAATTGTAGAAGGTAACGGGGTTTATGGAACTTAACGGGAGCGTGAAGCGTGGGAATTTAAATAGTTAGCTATGCAGTTACTCCCACGCGACGCGAATTTAAGTAATTAGCTATTCAACTACTCCCACAGGGGGAAATCAAATTGTAGTTTGACCAGGTTAATTAAAACGCAGTATGACTTTGGCAAACACTCACTCTGATGTATGTATGTGGTATGACAAAGTCTCCACTGCGAATTATTTAAAGTATAGTATGACGGATTTTTCGCTTTGGGCACACCCCCCACTAGAACCCGGCCCATGGCCGGGCTATACGCTAGTTCATAATGAATATACATACATATGTATGCAAATACATATGTCCCATCAACAAATTAGAGTTCACTCACATAACGAATCGATTTTCCTTTGCATAAATTCCTCTTAGGATTAATTAGGTCATCGACCGGAGTTTAAAGAGTGCCTTGCAGTTCATAGTGAGCGTTTCATAGTCATGTCTTTCATAGTTTTCATTTCATAGTACATGCGTTTCATAGTTGTTTTTTACATAGTTATTTGTTAATTTTCATAGTCATGCACTACATAGTCAATTTTTTACATAGTGGAAATGTTACATAGTGGGGATGTTACATAGGATATGTTTAAAATAGTCGCAATCTTTCATAGGCCCTTAAAATTTCTAAATCTATAATTGAACATCATAAATTAATTTAGAGTAGCGGATCATTTTTAACCAATGGTTGGTTCAAATCTCTTATCACTTCGGAGGAAGGGAAAAACCCAAGTACCAATAAATATCTTACACCACATGCAAAATATCGAATTCAAATTTGCCATAAAGTTTTAACTTCTGGTTTATTTAAATTTTGTTATTTTAACTTTGGTATGCTTATGCTATGCAATTATTATAATATCTACTTATTTTATTATGCCTGAGAGCGTGTATCATGCCGTTTTATCATGACTGTCTGTGGTTATCGGATCTCAAGCTTTAGAATCTGAGGGACATCACACTGAACACCTAATTACCATACCCCGGAAAAATATTTTTTTATCCTACCCTACTCATGTTGAGCTCAACACGAGTAGGGTAGGATAAAAAAATATTTGTCCGGGGTATGCTAATTACTTAGTACATGCTTTACTTTTGTACATGAATATCAAAGAATCCTTAGCATACTCATGGAAAAAATAATTCTGCAAAATCATTGCAGTGCACAATGTCGCAATCCAGATTGGGCTACAGTGTCGGACAGATGTCTACGTCCACATAGTCGCGTCAATTTCATTTTCAAATTGTCACTGAACTACTGAACCAATTTTCATCATTGATATATCAAATTCTCACAAATTTAACTTAATTTCATAGCACATTATTAGTTTTCCGCTAAAAAATTTATTTTAGGCCAGAGATGTATTTTAATTCAAAATGAAAACAATTGGATGGACAAAAGTCAACGTCCAGTCAGAGAAAACATACAAAAAAAACTGTAATTTATAAGGAATGTTATAACAATTAATTTTTAATATTTGGTTGAGCCTCCGTTCGCTTTAAGGACGGCTTCAAGGCGTCGAGTCATTGAGTTTACCAAATTCTTGGTCACATCTTCAGAAATGGTTTCCCAAACTTCACGAATTCTGGATTTAAGGCCCGGAATTCCTGAAAAAGATTGTTTTCTTATTTCTCTTTCAATGTGGTCGCACAGATGCTCAATGGGATTCAAGTCTGGAGATTGGGGAGGCCATTCTAGCTTCGGAATTTTTTTTTCTTGAAGTATTCCATGGTGGACTTGGCAGAGTGTTTCGGATCGTTGTCTTGTTGGAAGGCAAATCGTCGTCCAAGTCCAAGTTTTCGAACAGATTCCTGGATATTACGGTCAAGTATTCCCTGGTACTTGTATTGGTCCATAATTCCGTCAATAAATTCCATTTTTCCTGCCCCACTTGAAGCCATGCATCCCCACACCATTACCGACCCGCCGCCGTGCTTAACTGTGGGGTTGAGATTTTTTGGATTCAAAGCTTCTTTTGGATATCTCCACACTCTACGACGCCCATCTGACCCAAAGACATTGAACTTTGACTCGTCAGTCCATAAAATATGTCCCAGAATGTTTGTGGATTGGAAATGTGGTCTCTGGCAAACTTCACTCGTTTGGTTGCATTCCTCGGTACAATAAGAGGCTTCCGGACTGCTCTGTGGGATTTCAAATTTCCCTTATTCAGTGTTCTTTGGATGGTCATAGGACTAACCTGTTTGCCGAACATCTCCTTGATCTCGGTAGATAGCTTTGGAGCACTAAGTGAGGGTGTAACGTTGACTTTGTTGAGCACGTGGCGTACTTCTCGGTGAGCCAAAATGGGTTTTCGACCACTTCTGACCTTGTTTTGGACTGAACCATTAGCTTTAAAGTTCTTAATGATTGTCTGGATGGTTGTCCTTGCTAATTTATACTTGGTCCATATTTGTCTCTGCGACAGCCCCCTTTTTGTCCACCCTTCCAGTCCTGAATGACAAGATCTCGAATAGCGATAGGAATTTCCTTGCGTGTCGACGCCATCATATTTTTCTGGAAGAAAATTATTTAAAAATTAATGCGGCATATGTTATTGATAGATTTATTAAGTTACCTGATTTTATAAATTGGAGAGATTTTTGTTGTTGACAATTAAAGTGAAGTGGACGTACACTTTTGTCCGCTCAAATTTCATCCTCTCTCGCTCTGCACTATGATTCTCAGTTTTCCCAGAATTTTCAGAAATAACTCATATGTTTTATGAAATTACGTTAAATTTGTGAGAATTTGATATATCAATGATGAAAATTGGTTCAGTAGTTCAGTGACAATTTGAAAATGAAATTGACGCGACTATGTGGACGTAGACATCTGTCCGACACTGTATGTAACAGTGGTATCAATACTATGTAGTGAAATCACTATTAAAGTTATTCACTATGAAAGAGACTGTACTATTGAAGTAACGACTATTTAAAGACATACTATGTAAAAGCCGACTATGAAAAAACGAACTATGAAAAGCCTTTGCTATGAAAACGAAACTATGAAAAGAATGACTATGAAACAATGACTATGAACTGCCTGGCACCGGAGTTTAAATACACAAAAAATAGTTATTGGTATGTCATTTATCTCCATTAATTGCAATTTGCATTAATTTGCACTTTCTCATCAAATCACTTCCTACATAGGTGCCATGGGTCAGCTGGTTTTTATTTGATTATAAATCGTTGGAATGGATTCATCTCTTCCATACCATTTTAAACCAGAGGACAGGAAAGTGTGCAAATTACGGAATTTCTGCAAATATGGAGCTTGCAAAATATCAAATACTTTTTGCACTAGTTGTGCTTGCGACATGTGAGAAATTTCCATCTCAACATCATGAGAGGTAATATAGTAAATATATTATAAACCTAGATTTTGCACCTTAACGTGCCATAATATGAGGGTTTTGAGTTAGAATTGTTCTGTCTCAACTTCCCCTTCTTCTATATGTTCAAATCGCGATTTTGAAACGTATTCATCTCCGTGGGTGTTTTCCAATATGAAGATTTTAATTATCGATTTTTAGGTTTACAAAATTACGACTATTCAATTTTGATTTTTTTCTTCCCTGCGGAAATATATATGACATAGATGAAAAATAATAAGTAAAAACGAAATATTTTCTCATTTTAAGAAAAAAATCAAAATTCTAGAGTTCTAACTTTGTAAACGTAAAAATTATCGATTTTTAGTTGCATTCAAATCTTCATACTGGAAAAACCTCACGAAGATGAGGTTTCAAAATCCCCATTAGAATACAAGGAAGATGGGTTAGTTGAGACATAACAATTCAAATTGAAAACCCGCATACAGCTGCACCTTAACAAGACAAAATGTTACAGCAATTAATTATGTATGTATATTATTTGGCTTAGGGAAAGCGTAATTTGGAGTAGAATCCCATTTGGGAATGAAACAGACAATGGTAAGTCCACCTATATGTACATACACAACCAAGTTAATTAATTAAAATGACGCTGTTTTGGTTCACTGAAAATTAATCTAAATTAAAAACTTAAAATTCTAAATATGTCTGACAGAAATAGTTCGCTACAAGCCCTCCCATGCTTTATCTGTCATCCCGCCGAACCGAATTTTTCAAGGGTCCAGTGGAAAATTGGAGATAACAGACAACTGTGAAGGGGAATCATGGCTTATATCCGCCTATCCAAGGTATTATTTCAAGGACTTGCGTATTTAAGTTTGTATTACTTGCTTCTATTTAATCAGAATTTCGTTTTTCCCATCCAAAAATATTTTTCTAAAGTGTGAGAAGTAAGATATATCAACGAATTGAGGTTGCATTATATTTTATAAAAAACAAATGAAACGAAAGGAAACAAATGTTTCATCAATACTATGCGGTTTTTTTGTTTTGTTTTTGTTTCGTCTCAACCTCGAAATTTAATTTTTGCTTTGTTTTTGGAAATATAAAATCGAAAACAAACTCTGAAACAAAACAGAAAAAACAAAACATTGCCAACCGTAATTTGAATACTGTTCGAATTTGACCGTGTTACCTAATACATACCTATTTATTAGTTAGGTATACTTGATTTGAGAATTAGATAGGTCTCACAATGCGAGGTGTGAAGTGTAACCCTCCGATTTGGGTGACATTTCGAAATCACGTGGTCCATGTCAATACCACCAACGTTTCTTCAGGAAGTATGTGCGATGGTCAGAATTTGTCAAAATGTATCTAAATGCAATCTGTTTGTATTATCTACTTAAAAAGGAAGGACGACTGCGTTGAGACTTCCCCGAGTCAGGTAAGTGCCCGAGGTGAACTAAATTAAATACTTGTCTACAAAATGTATTTAATATCTAAATATGGATAAATAAATACATTTTGTACACTGTGTGTAAAAAGTGATAGGATTCAACTCGTTTTCAGTATTTCCAAAAATCAGCATATCTGACTGAAAATTATTTGTTGTGCATGATTCATTCTCATTATTAAAACTTCATATTTTCATATTTTTTCCCTCTCACAGTATGATTCCCTCCCGACATACACCGTCTGCTTTGACCCTACACTCAAACAAACGTTGTACTCCGTGGGAAAGGTCTATGGAAACGGTGGATTACCTCGCGTTGGCGCTAGACATTTTGAGGAGGCGAGGTCACTTTTTGATTTTAAGTGGAAAGACATGTACAAAAACCAAAGGAGAAAGTTGAAAGATTCGGTAAGAACGTGTTAAGGTGAAATAGCATTCTGGCTGATGCGGGTTTAGAGTTTGAATTGTTGTGTCTCAACTTTCCCCTCCTCCATGTATTCAAATGGTGATTTTGAAACCTGTTCATCACCGTTCGTTTTTTTACAATATGGAGATATTAATGCACCTAAAAATCCGTAATTTTTAGGCTTACAAAGTTAGGAGATAAAAATTTTGATTTTTTTCTTCAATGAGGAAATATTTCATTTTTATTGTTTATTTTTCATCTATTTCATATTTGTCTTCTGGTTGAAGAAAAAAATCAAAATTTTTATCTCCTAACTTTGTAAGCCTAAAAATTATCGATTTTTAGGTGCATTAATATATTCATATTGAAAAAAAACTAACGGCGATGAACAGGTTTCAAAATCGCCATTCGAATAAATGGAAGAAGGGAAAGATGAGACACAATAATTCAAACTCAAACCCCGCATACAATGCCACGTTAAGGTCAATGTATCTACATGTATTTACATATGTATGTATGCATGTTAGTATATAAATATATGTTTGCTTCTTGATAAATTTGGTATTTCCTTTTTGTCCAAGGTTGGTGCAACAAACTACGCCAGATTCTTTCCAGAAGAACAACAATATGCCTATTCTTGTGGACACTTATTTGCGAGGGGTGACGTCAATACGCGCGTTGGCCAGGCGGCAACCATGTTTCATCTTAACGTCGCGCCACAGCAGGGAATACTAAACGCAGGAAATTGGAAGGTATGAATATTTTTGAAAGTAATTTTATCAAGTTTGCCACTTAGCGTTATATATCTAAATATTACTCACGAAGATTATCGAAAACGACGTCAGAGATTTCCTAGGTCCCAATACCGGCTTGTTGAAAGTGTGGACCGGTACGTTTGGTTTACTCCAGTTACCCCATGACGACGGACGTCTTGTCGACATGTACTTGGGACAAGGTGTCCCAGGTACGATCCCCGTTCCCAAGTATTTAGGTTGTTTATTATAAATTTATTGTAAATTAATTGGACCAATTTTTTAACCAATTTAATTGGTTACAAAATTGAATTTGTCATGCCGTCGAGACTAAGACTGCTCCAGTGAGTAATAATTTGAAGTTAATTGGTTGTAAATTACAGTAATAGATTTACTAAAAATTACATATTGTATTGCGAATCTTCGGGGTTGATTTTTTCATTATACGAATTCCTTTATATAAATTTACTCTATTATTTAAAAATTTAATCATAAATATTATGTAGACTCTCTAATAACAAGTTATCTACTTTAGATTACTACACAATCGATTTTAATCTCCACGTGGTCATATATTTATTGCTACCTTGATGAATTTATTTACATATAAATTATAACAATTATAACAAGAGTACATATTGTTTTAAATTAATCTCCAAGATTCTTTTGGAAGTTGGTGTACGACATTCCATCAACCAAGGGCGTGGTAATTATTCAATTCAACAATCCCCACGCGACCCCTGCAGAGATAGCTGTGGAGAGAATACAATGCACTGACATGTGCGATCGCGTCCCTTGGTTAACAATTACACAACCCCAGAGGGACAACATCCTCCACGGGTACACGTATTGTTGCAATGTGGACGAATTTAAACAGATTGTGGGATATCCGAGCGAACTTCCAGCAATTATCACTAATTATTGAGCAGTGATGTGACATTTCTTTTAAACTGGGTCTAATTGTGTATCTTGATTTATGCAAATCATGTTTCTTACATACCGAAAATATAATATTGATATTTTTAAATAACTAAATAACTATCAATATTTGTCAAAAACGCGGAACAACATGTCCAACATATCTTTAAAGCTTTTTCAAAATTGATTTATCATAATTCATAATTTATAATTTTATATAAATTGCATTTCTACACAAAATTCAAGTAATAAATATTTAAATGCCAAATTACATGTAAATACATATTTAAATACTGAATCGGCTCAGAATACATACGTACACTTTTTGAAAATAAACATGTTACCTCATTTTAAATACGTAAATGTTTATAACAACAAGAAATACAAGAATTTCACATAAATACGTTAATACTTTTCAAACAGCTCAGCATTTTAAGAACAAATTAGCAAGACTTTAATGAACAATATCATAAAATTAACTTGGTTGCGTAATATCACTTTCTCCATCTTCCAAACTGTTCGAGACCATTTCGCACGATTCCGATGATTCCTGGGGAACATCCAATTCTTCATTTTGCTCATCTTTCCTTTCCACTTTATACGTTTTCGGTTTACAATTCGACCTCGGTTTCCAATTTGGATTCGAATGACCGCGCTCATGTCGGATCATGTGACCCCGCACTTTGAACGCTTGCCCGCAAATGGAGCAAACATGTGCCCGCTCCTCGGTATGGACCGTTCTCATGTGACACCGTAAATGGTTGTAGTCTACAAGTTATTTGGAAAGTATATTAATTGCTTACGTATGCCATTACATATTCTTGCAAAATTAAAAATTACACAGTTCACGCAGACCTTGGTAACCTTCTAAAACCCGAGCAAACTTTCACACAATTTTGGAAACGCTTTTCTAATGAATATTGGCTCATAAATTTATGTAAACTTAGCAAAATTAAGGGTGTGTTTTTGTTTTATGATTTCTAGAATTTTATAAAGTTAGCAATGATTGCGTGAAGTGCTTCAACGAACGGAACGATAAATCATGCCCAAAAACAGCACATTTTTAACCACTTTTCGCCTCTGGGAATTTATTTTAAAATTTTGGAGGACAAATTTGGTCGTTGCCAATCTTAAAGATGTATGTACACTCTAGATTTTGACACTTTTTTAAGGATAGCTTTTGAATTTATAAAACTCCCATAAAAATTAGAACTCGTCCAAACTGATTTGAAAAACTCAACGCCATTTCCATTAATCAACTCATAAACTACAAATTTAGCGTCCAGAAATTTGAAATAAATTACCACAGGGTGAAATGAATAAAAATGTGTTGATTTTGGTGATGACTCATCACCAAAACAGTTTTTGACCACAAGTTTTTGAATTAGGAGATCTCAACTTGAGATCTCCTAATTCAAAAACTGTCAAAATCTGGAGTTCATACATATTATTGTGACAAATGTTTCCGGAATTGTAGAATAAATTTCCGGAGCCTGAGCCGAGACCTGCCGTGAAGAGGTCAAAATCTTTACAACGAGTTTACCAGGGAGAAAATCGTATGTCGAATTTGGCATAATTCTACACAATTGGCCGTAACAATCGTTTGTGCAGAAAAAGTATGAACGATTCTGCATAAAATTTCTGACAGGTATCTTTATTCTGCAGAAAGATTTAGCAGAATTATGCACAATTCTGCATATTTTGTGCACAAATTGTTTCGGCATAAATTTTTCTGCATAAAATCCAGCCAAATTTATGCATAAAATCCCTTAAATGTACCAACCTTTCAAAATTTTTCCGCACTTGTCACACCCCACTTTGCGCTGTTCTTCCGTCATGTGCCTCTTCCGCACGTGGTTTCGAAGGAGCACTTCTAGCAGATACGATTTCCCGCAGCCTTCCTCCGTACACACGAATTTTGGCGGGACGACGTAAATCTTGTCGGGGTCAAGGGGTTCGAGAACGGGTTCTTCTTCCTCGTCCAGCGGACCGTGACGCGTGCGAGATTTAAATTCATAATTCGGATTGGCATGCAGCGCCACGTGGGTTTTCAGTTGATGTGCAAATGCAAATTTATGGCCGCATATGGGACAAATGAAGGGACGATCTTGATGCATCCGCTTTTTGTGGAAGTGTAGGGATAATCGACCTGTAAAAATATGCATCAATTCACGCAGGTCTTGGGAACTTTGTAAAACCCGTAAATTCTGTAAACTTATAAACGTTTACAAATTTTTGCAAATATTTACACCGGAAATTAGCCTAACAATGTCTGTAAATTATGTAGTTTAGAAATGTACTCTGAGCACTCTTTATTTTGCAGTTTGGAAAATTTGTTTAAAAAATTTATGCAGTTTGGAAATTTCCAGTGATTAAGAATTGCCTAATTATTGCCTAATTATGCCTATTCACGCCGTCCTTTGCAACTTTTTAAAATACATAATTACATATTCTAGACTAATTTTACACAATTAGAATGACGTCTTGATTTGAGTGAGTTTATACAAAAACTGTATGCAAATTTTCCCCAGAAATATTTGCAAAATTTTGTAAAATCTGTAGATTTGCAAAGTTACCAAAAACTGCGTGAATATCTTTCCACCTCAATAATTAATTGTTCTAATTCTTTTCCATACCTGAAAATATCCCGTGACAAATATCACACTGTCTCCGAGCATCCTTATGCATTTTATTGACATGGCTTTGCACGCGTCTCTCCTGTTTGAACGTTTCCGAGCAGCCTTCCACCGGACAAGGATATGTCGCTCTATCCGTGTGATGCGTCTTCTCGTGGCTCTTCATCGAATCCTTCCCCCGGAATCCTTTTCCGCACGTGGCGCACAAAAAGGGTCGTTCACCCGTGTGGTGACGCACGTGTTCGGAATACTTCCGCCGAAAATTGCTCCCATAGGAGCAGTGGTCACACTGGAACTTGAATCCGACACGTGGCGTCTTCTTCTTCTTCTTCCCAATCCGTTTTTTCGGTCGGGGGGTCCTTTTAGTCGCAACGGAATCGCTGATATTCTGTAAAATTAAAGTAATTTTTTAATGTTTCTTTCTTCTACAAAACCCAGATTATTTGGCCCGAGTCAGGGTGTTATTAAGAATTAAAGTGGGTATGCCCCATAAAAGTTTTTCATTTTCGCAAACATTGAACTTAATTCATAATTTTGCAAGTGCTACGTTTGTGCAAAATTTCAAGTTGATTGGAAAAGTTTTACGTTTTTCGCTTTTTACAAGGGGCCGTCCATAAATTACGTAACGCAAGAGGAGGGACGGGGGTCTAAGGCTCCAATGATATCGTGCCTATGTTACACATGGGGGTTTAAAAAATCGCCATTTTTGCGTTACGTAGTTTATGGACGGCCCCTAATCGATAGACAGACATACAGATAACCAGTAGGGAAGCCCTGACTCGCGCTAGAAGGGGTTTAATTACTTAATACGAACCATCACGTTGTGTGATGCAAGTTGTTCCAGAGTTAGTTTGGGGCCTAGTCGAAGGTACGGGTTGGGAAGATCTACTTCCGGTTGGGAGGAAGGGATAATCACGATCTTTTTAGTTTTGGGGGGAATTTTCTTCTTCTTTTTTGCACTGGGAATGTAGTAACAATCCGATCCGGTTTCTTCGTCCTCTTTAAGCGTGAAAAGGTCATCCTGTGGATCATAGTTGTCGTCGTAATCCATATCATCCACATTTTTGGGCGACTTCTCTCCAACCGCATCTAAATATTTATAAACATTGTACACGCTTTAAAATAGTGTTTCCTTTTTATGCAGTCTGAATTCTAAATTAAGTATCCCCAGGGCATAATGCCCTACGAAATCTGGAGTACACTTTACTTAATTTAGAATTCAGAGTGCAATCAGTCAGTTTACTGCTGAAAAGGGTTGAATTTGCAGTTTTTAAGTGTATTTAACGTTGTATCGAACATAAATTTATGTAGAGCACGAGTATTTTTTTTAGTAATAAATTATTTAGACCTGCTACCACCAGATAATCCTCCTCGTCCCCAGTATTCTCCTCAAAGTCGCCGCATTCTTCAAATAAAACCCCCTCAGACATGCCGTCATCTTCCGGATTAATCTCAAGAAATTCCAAAGGCTCAAACTTGACTTGAATTTCGTCAAATTCGTCACTCTTCTTGACATTATCTAATCTTTCAGAATCCATAGAAGTGGAAATATTTTGTAGATTTAGATTTTTGCGGACTCCGCTCGTCGATTTTTTTGCAACGCCTGGCCGCCCTGACGATTTTGTGGGTCTACGATCTACATTTCGCACAATTTCCCTTGTAAAAAACGGTACAACTTTTTATTCTATAAACGCCACAAATAGCTCGACTTATCCTTAATTTTGGTACAAAATTTTTACAAAATTTTGACCAGAAGTCAAACCCTGAGGAAAACGTTTTGTATCCCAATTTTTCTACACTTTTTCTAAGATTTAGATCGCTTTCGCCAAACTTTTTCGCTAATAATTGACAAATCTAGTTAGCTAGAACTTACCCTCTTCATTTTCCAATTGAATTATCGAATCCTTTACGATATCAGCGGGATCGTTGCCCTTTAACAGTTCAATCCTCGTCCACGTGACAAGTTGTTGGACCACACGTTCCAAAGCGGCCACCCGTTCGGCCAAGTTTCCTAATTTATTATTCTCCTCTTCTTTTCCATCCCGATCAGGACGAGATCTCAGCAGTGCCCTGCTTTTGGCACGTGTCGACATGTCGAATAAATACCTAAATTAAAAAATCAAATCAAATCAATTATTCGGTTCTTTCCTGCAATTCAACGTGTTTTAATATTCAACTAGATTAATACTTGAGATCGGGACACAATTCACTCTGAAAGGAATTTAATTTATCTACGGTAAATATTTTATGAATGATTTTAAACATGTAATTTTTTTACCAGCCAAAAAATCCGTGTAAAATATTGTACGCACAGCTGACTGCAAGCCGAGTTTTGCAGCAATTCTACCGCTACACGAGGAATGAGTGAACAAAGTGGATGCTCGTCGTCATGCTTTCCAGTTCTGCATGGAAAACAACTGCATGTAAATTGTTGTTGTTCCTCCTGCTGCGTTTATATTTAAACCCCGTTTCACGTTTCTGGAGTTTATCACATTTAAATAGACAAATTCTGATTTCAGAATACATTTACGTGCATTTCATTCATCTGAAATCGTTTATATGTAATAAGCGGATGCAAAATATTTACATGTTCTTAAACATTATTACGCTTTCCAATAAAATCACTGCCCATCAGCCAATTCCAAGAAAAGTATCAATATCTTCCACATACACACCTTTAAATAACTAAATATCCAATATTGCTTTGCGATTTGGTTTTTAAACCGGTTCTCCCAACTAATTCTTCGTATACATATTCCAAGAATTAGCAAAAAACAGCTCTGCCCCCCTCCCTCGTGCATACCTGTTACATACATACGTGAATATGAAGTCTTTCTTCTCGTTTACTTACGGAGAAACAAATTGCATGCATGCCTTAAAGCAAAATCTTATCCACCATGAAGAATCTAAGTTGAACAAAAAGCACGTACTTAAGGTTGTTGTTCGTATTGCCAGGTAATAATACGTCATCCACTAAACTGGATACAGTGTTTGGGCTGAGCATGTATCCAACAATGCCTTCATAGCTTCTTCCATATGTACATATGTAAGTTCTTGTATGTAGTTTCTCGACAATGCAAAAGTTCAGCCTGCATAGATACATATGTACATAATTTTTTGCCAGGAATCCATCTATCGTGGGAGCCACAGCAGACACACAAAAACAAACAAACATCATCTCCACCATTCATAAATAAAAGATCACTTCAACAGTTATATTGTTTTATCAAATAAATACGCCAACAATTAAATAAAATTCAGACGACGGAATACCGTACATATTTTTTGTGCTTTAATACTCACAAACGTACTAATAATTTCTAACGTCTTCTCTCGTTTTTTTTGGAAAATACTTACATAAACAGAATTTGTACCCGATTCGGAAGGAAGTAATGGGGGGACGAACGTGTTGCTGTGGGAATTGCACGGTGGGACAGGGGACTCTAACCATCGCAATTTTGAATATTGTAAGTTGAAAAGTATTACTTAATCAGTGTACTCACGTCAATCTTCGCATATTCAGAATATGCAGTTAAAGTAGTTACATATTTACATAATTTGCGATGTTTTGAGAAATTTGCAAAAATTTTAAATCGTTAAATTTTTGTCACAAGTATGCCCACTAAATAATTCAAGTCTATGTTTTAAATAAATACTTCAAAAACTTATCTTTATCATGATTAAGGGAAATTATGACAGTCCATGGAAATAAAATAAATGTTTTTGGAAACGTGTAGAAAAGAATTGCCAAATGTTATTTTGCGAATCCCTTCACGACACAAATTTTTCCAGCTTCCCAAGTTTGCTAAATGAGTTGAGATGAGAAATACCTAATACGTTTTCGTTAGTACGCACAATCAATATCTTACGAAAACAAGTCCACTAATATTCTCTATTTCTAGCTTGGTGGAATCTTTTCCATTATTCGAAATTCGATCGGAGTTAATGAAATGATCAATAATCCGGATCAGATTAAGGATTTTTCCTTTCAGAAATATCGTACGTCCATAAACATTCTTTATGCAAAAATTACAAATTATGCAACTTTTCACCAAAACAAATTTCGCGTTTTTTTAGAAAATCAATACATTGCATTTGCCGGCATCCAACTCTTTGTGGGGGTCGTGTACCTGATTTTGTCCGGCTGCATGGTGCAAGGTTATCGCAGCGTGAGTGTCTTTTTGATTTCCATACACTCGGAAAATTTCACTCTTGAAAAGAGTGGTACCCTATTGAAACGTAAATGCACTCTGACAATTGGGACGCAAACCATGTTCAACCCAGATTATTTTTTAACCACGTTAGATACAGAGATGGGCAATCTGATTACTGTAATCCGTAATCTACCTCATTAATTTATCCAAGTAATCCACATTATTTCAGGAGCGAAGTAATCCCATGATAATTTTTAAATTAATTAATCTGTAATCCGTAATCCATCGAAAGCGTTGGGATTTCCGATTCCTGGTACATTGTTTGAAACAGCAAATCATTAAAAGCAATATTAAGTTCTTGGCGCAGTAACGCTAAACGACACAAATTTCGTTGGAACTTCTAGCGTTTTCACCAAGTTGTGCCCCCCCCCACAATGAAAAAAGCCAAATTAAAAATTAATTAAATCAATCAAAAAAACGCCAAAAATGCTAAATTCTTCGCATCGGCGATACTTCTGGAATAAATGTTGCTTGTAATAAGTTACTGTTTCAAACTAATATGGTTAAAAAATAATCTGGGTTGAACATGGTTTGCGTCCCCATTGTGAGTTCTGTATTAAGTAAACTATATTAAATTTAGACCAAAATTTTATTTTGATCAAGTTACAACGTTACATACTCTGAATTTAGCATAGTTTACTTAATATGACCTTTACTTACGTTTCAAAAGGGTTGCGTAATTTTTTAGAGTGTGCAAAGAATTTGCATAATCTTATCCGAATTTTCGTAATTTTCGTGTTTTTGAATTTTTCGAATTTTCGTAGCGGGATCACCACTGGATCATGCCTTGGTTGGTGTGGAGCGTAATTTCTCTCGCTCTCTTTTCATTCGGAGTTGTCGGCGTCTTCTTCTTCATGGCATTTCGTATGCAATTTTTGGCGGGAGTGTTCATTGTGGTCACGTGCGCGGTTTGCATAGCAGTTCAGACTTATTTCGTCCTTGTGGTGAAACACTTCGTGGATGAATTGAAGGGTGGCGATTGTGAGGCAACGTAAAGGTCTTAATTGGTATTAAATATTTATGCAGTGTTGTAAATAGAAAATGTGTACATAACTATTTAGAGTTCTCTTATATCAAAATTTTACATAGTAATAATGCGAATTTTTGATTTGTCGTAATTAAGTAATTACCTTGAGATTAATTTTAGGATGAACAAAGTAATTAAGGTTACCACGTAATTAAAGTCAATCAACGATTATCTTTACTCTCTTGTTACAAGTAATTAAGAGTTTTCCTTGTAAATAAATAATTAATCAAATAATTAATGAAGGACTTCAGTATTTATTTGAAGATCGTGAAGATTAATTTTGTTAATTGTCTAGATTACCTGGGCCAATTATTCGTTTTGTGTTAGCTTGAGTTCATGAAATATACAGATTCATAAACATTGCGTCAGTCGTTAATTGAAATTCTTTAACACAGTTATTAACTGTTTTGCGAAAATCTGCGAAAATCCAACAATATGCAGTAGATTAAATAAAACGCTTTACGTTAGTATTACATAAATTGTACATAAATTTATATTTCAATTATGTTTGCAAAATGTACATATATTGACTTATTTGAAAAAACCAATCTACATACGTGAAATAATTGTAGGTATGTAACAATCTGTCATCGATGGGCCAATTATATTATCCAATTACAATCCAATCCAATTCTAATTTTCACGAGTTTCTACAGATTTTTTGAAGAAATTAAGTTTTTAGCGCAGTCTAATTCACGATTTTTTAAAAATGACGTAACTGGGCTCCGATAAAAAGTTAATTTCTTAAAAAAAACTGTAATTTCTAATGACAATTGTATTCTTCATGTAGATTCTCAACTTTTTTCATATCTAAGGGCCCTCCAAACCCAAACAATTGGATTACTGTAATTGGATAATGCAATTGGCCCATGTAATATGCAATTTGTGCTAAAGCAGGTTTAAGCACTTCAATTTGCAACCTCGTTTCAGAAGATGGTACATGCTGAATCCCCATTGTTGGTGTGATTTCGTGGACATTTTTTAATAAGCAAGCCATACGCATGGATGTCATACTCATCTTGCACTATCCAATATTCTCCCGCGCCTGTAACCGAATCGGGCACAACTTTCACGGCTGCTGGATTCACACGATTTTGCAACACCACTTTGTAAGTGTCCCCATCATGCTCAAATTCCGTTGCGTAGCGTTCCGCAACGTTTATGTCGGGCGTAGAGTAAATGCCGCGACCAAAAAGGAAGCGTTGTCCTCGGCAAAGAAGAAACCCGTTTTCAGCAATTGAACCAACGTTATCCTTGTTAGTTCCGTGGTAAGATACTGTAACGTATGTAATTAGTAGGTCAAAGATCAATAATTCTTACTGACAATGCGATGGTGTGAAGTATAACCCTCGGATTTGACTGAAATTTTAAATTAAGTGGTCTAAGTTAATATAACCAACGTTTCTTGAGGCACTTTGTGCGATTGTTGGAATTTGTCAAAATATTCGACGTCAAAGTTGACAAAGAGCGATTCCTACCAAGCGGAGGAAGCAAACCCTATTCGCTTAAGAGGGGAAAATGACAAACTTTTCAACTTTACCCTCGAATATTTTGCTAATTCCTACCATAGCACAAACTACCTCAAGAACCTTTGCTTGTTTGTATTGACTTCGATCACAAGCAGAAAATCTGTAATTTTAATTGTACGTAGTATTCTGTAATGTTAAAATTTCGGTTAATTCAGAGAATTACACTTCACACCATTGCATTGCAAGCCACGATATGAAAGTGTATGTATGCAGCAAAACGTGTTCCTACTTTTCAAAAAAGTGAAATTCTTTTTAAGAGTACACCACGGGTTCTCTACTCATGCTAAACTTAAAAAGACATATGTACACAGGCGACCCATATACATCATAACCACTCATCCACCTTTTTGATAACATAATATATACATGTGCACGTTCCCACCCAAAATAGAACTACACACCTGCCCATTCACCCGGCACTGGGTCACAAATATCTCTCCTCTTACCACCCAATCCTAGCCAAACATTGTCTCCAAACCGATCTATCACTTTAAAGGCGTGTCTCGTCCATCCAATCGGTCTTTTGTACTCGCACGGTCCTCGCATAAAGGTCAGCCCATCATCATTAAGTTTGCCAAAGTCGTAATCAAATCTGGGATCACGCAGATTTTCGTCAATATACTTGATCGGATCTTCACTCCCACCTGCCCAATTAAATTAATTCCTCTGTGTATTTATTCATAATTTTTTGATATGTAAAGGGTGTTGAATAAATTCGTCCCGATTTTTTCCACACATCTGAAAACTTTTAACTCAAATATGGTGCAAATTTGGGTTCTTCCCGTGAATGTCGAGGTACTACTGATTACGATTTGTCTTAATTCTACGCTTGGTAAAAATTTAAAAATACAGGGTGGTTAAAATCGAAAATTCCACGCTACAATGAAAAATTTTTCGATGGGAAAAATTCGTAAATTTCCATCGGTTGCCGAAATTTTGTCTCTAAAATTCGACATTTCAAGAATTTCGTCATCATGCTCCACCAGTTTTGCTAATAATTTTATAAAAATCTCAAGCAAAATTCTCGTAACTAATGGAGATTTAGAGATCGGAACTGATGAAAAAATTATTAAACTTTTTCCCATTGACAAATTTTCTATTGTAGCGTGACATTTTAACCACCCTGTACATATTTGCTTGTTTGAAGGCCATATGTAGATACGGAAATGTGGTTTGAGCCTAAATCGGCCGCATATGGACGAATTAAATCAACACCCTGTAGTTCGAATCTAACCTCGTAAATCCAGTACGCAATGAATGACTGAACCATTCACAATATTGTAGTCAGACATACGCCTGCAATCTTCCAAAACTTGGCCGGCATAAAGAAGTCTTCCCAAATGAATTTCACCCTTACGATGCATCATTTTCCTCACATCTCTAATCGTGTCTTCCCGATTCAAACCACTGAGCAGGATATATTTTCTTCCAAGTTGCTCGAGTATTGTGGTCAACGCTCTCGGATTTGCGATGGAAATGGCGTCGACTTCATCACAAGCTTTTTTCTTGTCATAAAATACATCTTTGTCGGTTTTTTGTAGGGAGGCGTCTCGTACCTCGGTTGGAACTGGTCCGCGCATTAGAAGAGTTTGAGGGTTGAAGTTAATGCCGTTAAAACTTCTTGGCACCGCGTCATTGTTCTTTTCGTCTTTTTGCCTGTTTAATTCATCCTGGCTTACAAAGTCGACAGATGTAATGGCACGTAATGCCGAGTGGACAAGGGTGTCTGTCATTATTATTTCTGCAAAAATTGAAACAAATTTAGTAGGATTGTACATCATTTTAAGGCTTGTATTGGTTTATTTTTACATATAGCGTGGTTAAAATGTGAAATGAGAAATTTTGCAAAGGGATAAGTCCCTAAAAGTCCCATTAGTTACAAGATTTGGGATTGAGATTTGTATTAATTATTATCAAAACTGGTGGAACAATGATACAAAATCCTTAAAATGTTGAATTTCAGAGACAGAATTTTGGTAACCAATGGAGATTTACGAGTTTTTTTCACTGAAAAATTTTCCATTCTAGGGTGACATTTAAACCACCCTGTAAATATATTAGCACGATGTGGAATTGAAAATTGGGTAACCATCATTATTTTTTGTTCAATGTTTACGACTGGAGAGTAATTGCATACATAGATATTAACGGAATTGAATAAATTTCGTAGGAGGAAATACATTTTCTTAATAACTAAATAATGTACTTATGACAATAATACGAACAAAATTGCTGATGAAACTTCCTTAGCGGTTAATCTAATCCGCTACCAAGCAATAATTGTGGTAACAGGAACAGATAAACACACAAATTTCAAAGATTGCAAGACACATCTATGAAATAGCAATAAAATCAGGCATGTGTAAATTAAATTCATAATTAGGTAGTTTCTCTACTTACACGACAAATCAAGCAATTTTTAATCTTGTCGGTTCGTCGAGTAAAATACTTTGGTAATATAAATCTTGCCAAAAAACGCTGCAGTGAATTTATTAATCCCCACTTAACTTCAGTTTTACAGATAAAATTTCCAAGTTTCGCAGAAATATTTGTTGCTTATCGTCCCACGAGCAGGGTTCGGCTGAAGTCCGCCAGCTCCTCCACGAATAGTAAAATCTGCGTCGTTGATTGGGCTAATCAGTTCCAATAAAATTATGTATGTATGTACCATGTCTATATTTTTATATTAACAAGGAATGAGCAGTTCAACAGTGTTGTTGACCCCGAGTATTCAGTTTATCATATACATACTTGATGCAAAATGTTTGTGGAGATAACTAATCTCGGAAGGATTTTGCGCTTCCCATGACTCAAGTTATGCAAACAAGTGCTTGCATATTTGCATAACTTGAGCGCTTAACCCACGGTTATCATTGATTTGCTCATTTGAATCGGTAAATTTATCATGGCAGGTGCCAAATCCATCCTTGTTTTGCCGAGATTAGTTATTTAACTCCACAAATATATAGGTAGTTTGAAAAATTGAACTGTTTAGGTTATTAAGACTGTTAAATTGTATGCCATTTACACGTCTGTGTATAAAAAGATGAACTATGGAGCATTACGACTCTGCAAAATTGTCAGTTTAAAATTCGCATGCAGAAAAATCGGGGGCATACATAATTTTGCAAATCTCCATCATTGATGCATACATATTTACATAATAACCTGCAATCAAGGTGTTTTTGGTAAGGTCGTCTATCACCAATTCGGTAAAAATAGTCACATTGGACCTCAACCGCTACTGACGGAGATACCCGACCACTACTTTAAAATGAGTTCCCTTCGAAATGTTTTTCATTTTTGTAGGTTGAATATACTCGTCCTGAGCATTATATATGTATACAATAATCCTTTATGTAAAATTTACATTGTAAATACAGAAATACATACGTGGTGAAACAAACAACCATACATACATATGTATGTATCTATACTTGAATAAACATCTAAATAAGAAGAAAACTAATTATCCCCGTCAAATTACGGATGGATGTTTACCAAAAAATATTACAAATGATTACATGTTATAATAAGACTGATTCAGTATTTAAATATGCATAGTATGCATGCCCGCACTTGTTTTAGGTGTACGTATTCATGCCATGTTATCTTGGAATGACATTTTTATGTGGGTTAGGCCTCCGCTGTTTAACTAACAGTTCCCTTACTCGGTTCAAAATTCACCTAAATAACATTAATTTGAAACCTACTTACATACGTGACAATAAAGACGAACGGGTTCTTCGTAAATAAACGGGAAATCGGAACACTCTAGTTTACCAAAGTCGATCATAAGGCCTGTTTATATAGAGTCTTGTGATATAAAGACCTCACTCTTATATTAATGCCTTCTGCCCATGGGTCTGTGTACACTTCAAATTTAGAAATTTGGAGAATTGGATAGACATTTATCGTAGAAAAATAGGACGAGGACTTAACTACATATACAAATTTTAAAAATGTTGTCCCTGAATGCCACCGCATTTTGTACAACTTTTCAAATTCTTACCTTAAATTCGCACCTGATCACGTCCAACTCTTCTGAATCTAATCTTTGTAGCTTTCTTAAACGAGACTATCTTGAAACCGCAACTATCACAATATTTTCTAATTCGTCCCTCAACCCCGAAAACATTTGGAACATTCGTGTCAAAAAATTTTCGCCATTTTCACAAACTTATTTCGTAACTGTTGAAAATCTTGGAGAAGTTTTAAACCTCCTGCAGAAAGTTGATGTGTCTCATAAAATCGGTCATAATTTCGTATTTCGATTAGAGTTTATTCCTGCGAATCTCGATTTTGCAATGTTGTTCAAATTTAACGCAAATATTTACTTTTATCTGACACGTTCTCACGATTTGTACGAACTCTGTTATTTCTGCGAAACTGCGCTTATCCACGTGGAGGGGTTAATCTTATCTGAAAACTGGAAGCGACCCCTTAACTTTAAGGGATGGCCGATTCATACTGAAGGACACCCGAACGACTTGTGCCAAGCCGAATTTCGTTTCATGAATTGCCATTTTACATACCGATTTTATTCCGCGGCACAGAAAAAGTTCAACTTTACGTTCTCCTGGATATTCAGCTATGGTCAAATGTTGGTCCATCTTCGGGGAGGTACGCATGCCTGTTCACGTTCATTTATTCAATATATTTTGAATTACTTAATTATTCATTTATTATTTAGTAAATACTTCGAAGCTTTCCATTGAACAAATACCAGTATTAAATTAATACTTACTCATTTCATGGTCATAAAGAATGAATGAATAATTTTGCTTATTATTTGTGTTTTAAATTATGCTTAATGCTTGAAGTGTATTACGAAATTCATTAAATAACTAATAAGGCCAATTTGAGATAAAAGTAATAAAAATCGAATAGTGAATGAATACTCAATTTCAACACCAAAAAGAAATAAGCAAACAATTTTTCATTAACAATTTTTCATTATTTCAAAGTTTCAACTTGAACTAAGAAATATTTTTTGATCAGGTATGGCTGCCCAGGTTCCCCACGCGACCACTTACTTGACCCGGATGAGCTGGAGAATTGCTTATAAACAAGTCTCTAAAAATTCGGCGCCCTTCCTCCATCCAGCCGACCCTTATTATCTTCTCTACTGCGAAGACAATTTGATCTTCCAGACGACCTCGTGGACGTATTGGCTTGCCCCGTTCAGCCGGGAAGTTTGGTTCTCCTTGCTAATTTGCATCCTTCTAACGGCCCTCACAACATGGCATCTCTTAAAAAAGACAACATTCCTGGAAAATTTGATGAACTGTGTCGCCCTAACTTTTCGTCAAGGGGTATCCCGAGATTTTAGCGGTTTCCACCTTTTCCTAACCTTCGTCATGCTCGTTTCCGCCAATTTATACGAATCCATCATAACTAGTGAACTGGTCGTCAGTCCAAAACCACATGTCGCCGACCTAAAAGAACTCTTCGTGTCCAGAGGCTACAGAATTTTCTGGCCGGTCATTGACCCCTTAAGGATGAAGGGGAGCCCAGCCCTGAACGAATTTCGGAGCGGATTCGCCCGCTACAATTTAACCCACCTGGTCGACGAGCGCCTTAAGGGGTTTGACTTGCCCCGAAAGTGGCCGGGGGATGATTTGCTTGACAAGTTCGAAACTTTTAAAAATCCCGCCAACAATCTTGTCACCGATGTCTGGGGGAATAGCATGGGGTATAAAGAGATCGAGTATAATGGTATCGTCACCGGGAAGTTTTGTCACATCGGGAAGGACAAGTTTTTCGATCGGGTCTTATCAAATTATGTTAAGGGCCATGGCTTCGAACAGATTTTGAACTGGCTAAATTGGGCGAGGCAGGCGGGGATTGTTAAATTTTGGCGGGATGGGCGTGACGATACTGATACGAGGAAGAACTTGAAGGGGCATTATGTCCGGTGGAAGAAGGCCGGGCTGACGAAAGGGAAGTGGGCGGGTGGCAGGGTTAAGGCGGATTGGGAGGGGATGGGGCTAAATGAGAAAGTGGGGCAGTTATTTGGTATTTGTGGGGTAATTCTAGTCACGGCGGGGTTAGCATTTATGGCAGAAAGGTTGCGGACTGTGACTTATATTCAACAGGTATAAATTATTAAGTAGCTTCAGCTACTTTATGTGAAGACTTTGTCTGTCTGTCTGTCTGTCTGTCTGTCTGTCTGTCTGTCTGTCTGTCTGTCCGTCTGTCTGTCAGCAGGATAGAAGGAGAACGGATCGAGATAATCGAAATCGGTTTTCGCCATCATACATAGGACCCCAGGGGGAGGATCCTATCAACTTTTGGGGGCAACCGGACCACACCCCCTTTGGCGACAGGGGGTGTGGTCGGGGCAAAATGAGATTTTTAGTGCAATTTAATCTATAGGTGAAATAGAGTAAAATTATGTGTTCCGGAGTTGTGCCACACCCCCTCGGCGCCAGTGGGTGTGGTTGGGGCAAAATGAGATTTTTAGTGCAATTTAATCTATGGGTAAAATTAGGTGAAATTGAGTGAAATTAAATGAAATTAAGTGAAATTAAGTGCTTCCCCGATTGTGCCACACCCCCTGGGCCCCAGGGGGTGTGGTTGGGGCAAAATGAGATTTTTAGTGCAATTTATTCTATGGGTAAAATTAAGTGAAATTGAGTGAAATTAAATGAAATTAAGTGAAATTAAGTGAAATTGAGTGTTTCCCCGATTTTGCCGCACCCCTTCGGCGCCAGCGGGTGTGGTTGGGGCAAAATGAGATTTTTAGTGCAATTTAATCTATAGGTGAAATAGAGTAAAATTATGTGTTCCGGAGTTGTGCCACACCCCCTAGGCGCCAGGGGTGTGGTTGGGGCAAAATGAGATTTTTATAAAAAATTAATCTATAGATGAAATAGAGTGAAATTAAGTGTTCCCGAGTTGTGGTGGGACCGTTTGGGGTGAAGTACGTCTGAAGCTACTTCCGTATGCGCGTTTGCGACGGTTTATTATACCTTTCAAATACTACTTGTATACATAAACCTTATATTACTTTAGCCTATTTAAGTTTAACTTAAAGTGAAACCTTTTTTATAAGCTACTTGACATATTTTTGACATTGTTGTGCAGAGTTTTAAATTTTAAAAATTACGAGATCATGTTGACATATCTACTTAAAAAAATTAATCGGTGCATTACATAAGTCACATAGTGTATAATCGTGTCCAGATTAATTTTTAATCCCAAACAATGACAAGGCGTGGTTGGAGACACTTTCAGATTCTGCCGGTTTGTCTAATTTATGTAGATACATGTGCATCAACACTAAGGACTTATTCAACCAGACGAACTTCGTCCGCTACATAGCCAAACCCCTGATTAATTATTTATCCACAGGAAGTGATGGAATTATAAATAATCCACTTTCGGTTGACAATGAGCGGCATACACACTTTGAGTTCCCTTAAAAATGATTAACACACGTTGAGATGACACGCAACAATCATTTATTATTAAAGGTTTAAACATTTATTTTACTAGCTACATGAACCAGCAAGACATAAAACGTTGACAATTTAAGCTGAGCATGTACATGCAGCTGCCGGAAATTTTTAAGTATTTAGGTACATATGTATCAAAAGTTATAAAACGAAACAAAGTAAACATTTTACGTAACCTGTGAAACATGTTTTTTATACAGAATTACCTTCAAACTTAACCCTGCGAAAAAGTCTTTGAAAACAACGGGGTAGGATTGCGGCTTTACCAAAAAGGTGAGAAGTTCTCACTTGCCTGTGTTAAATTGGGATAGTATTGCAACAGTTTTGTCGCTAGGGTGACAAACACCATCATCACACCGGTGTTAACCTTATACTTACCCCATGCATGTTAGTAATAAATTATTGTACAAGGTTGATGTCCAACAATTTCGCAATAAATAAATTAAGCATGCGCCACGCGCAGTGAGCTAAAATCCACAGTACTTGAATTACTGATCGGTTTCTTTCTTAACCAATATTGTCATATCTGCTCATTCCGAAGCAACTCCGCTAAGCCCACTTTCAACAAATTTTCAATTTCACTATTAAACAAAGTAAAATTGCCAAAATAGTATAATCAAGCTTTGTATCAAACTTGAAATGTATTCTACGCATTTTCTCTCCTTCATCGTGCAACATTACCGTCGTTGCCACCAAATATTTAAATATTTTCCATTCAAATTCGATCTCCAACTTAAACGATTCGTTTCCATCAATACTCCCCATGGGAACAAGATGTTCAAATTGCTTAATATGGTTATGCTGACATACACGATATCTGACTCTTGCCACTTATATTTCGTGTCGATTTCGCAACCCAGGAAGGTTCAAGGATTGGTATTTTGTGTAATGTTCTTTATACTAATAGGGTCCGGCTGGAACTATGATTTAGACAAGGCTCAAATACAAATGATCAATACTTGTTTGGACTTCGAGGATAAAATATTAAAAGGTTATCGTTCCATTAATTCCTTCATAAAGTTTTTCAAGTCTATCCGATGCATATCTATGTACAGGGTGGTTTAAATGTCAGGTTACAATGAAAAATTTTTCAAGTGGAAAAATTAGCAAATCTCCATCTCCAGTCTCTGAAGTTCAATATTTTAAGAATTTTCTCATCAGTGTTCCAAAAGTTTTGATAAAAATTAATAAAAATCCCAAATCCATAACTAATGGAAATTTATGAATTTTTCCCAGTGCAAATTTTTCATTGTAACCTGACATTTAAACCACCCTGTATACAAATCAAATATTTATTAATTTTCCCGTTAAGAAAAGCATAAAACTTCCCTACAAACCAAAGCAATGCTCGCATTTCTCTACCTATTGAAGCACAGCTACTATTTAATTCCGTTAGCAATTTTTGGCCTGATTCTGATCGACCCTTGCGCCCCACCATTCATTCTGTCCATGCACGCGGGGTGCTCAGATTTACGGGGGAATGGGCTGGTAATACTGATCCTACTTTTAGAAACATATCTCTGCTTTTGCCTCTTCTACATTGGAACGGCACCAATCGTACACAATCTTTTTGCCGGAATTAGCTCGCTTTTGAGTTACTTTCAGCTACTTGAAAGGTAAGATCGATCATCGATGATAACCCCAAAAAATAAGTTTTAAATGGTTAAAAAGTATCCTCAGTACCACGCGAAAATTTGCTATATTTAGAATACTTGAAACACCGTACTACACAAGATTTTTATTACCAAAGTATAATAAAGTACTAATTTTCACATCTTAAATTAAATTTTTTTTAGAAAAATACAGAAATCTAATTCGCTATCAGAGTGGGAATCCTGCATCACAAGATATCGGAAGATTCAATTGATTGAGAAAATAATGAATGCATTTCTAATGGCGAAAGTCGTCCCAATTATGGTTTGTGGGGCGCCGTTACTCCAAATAGTGACATCACTATGCATAGGGAAATCCCAATGCCGGTTTTTCTCATATTCCCCGTGATTTTGGTTGACGCGTCAGTCAATAATATACTCGTCTTCACACTGGCGTCGTGGGTTTTCAATTCGTCTGTAAAATATCTGAAGGGCGTGGAAAAGATGACTTTGCAGTTTAGGAGTCAATCCCTGATACGCAAGCAGTTGAAATCATGCGGAACACTAAAAATCAAATTTGGGTCGAACTTTATCGACAATGGGACGCCGTTGGTGATACAGAATTTTTGCTTGAATCAGACCATGTCAATAATTCTGATACATAAAAGAAGGGAAGCGAAATTTTAACGTGTAATACAAACCCAAGCATACATCCATACACATTTTTCCATGTACTTGAATTCCTAGCTATACATAAAATACAATAAAAAGAGTATTATGCAAAAGGTTTATACAATCTCAATTGTAAATTCAAGGTATTTAAGGTAGAATTATCGGATCGTGTGGATGACATTTTTTAAGTGATTTAGTCACAAGCATTCAGCGTTCAAATGTTCCCTTCTTCAGGTGTTAAAGTGTTAAAATGCTAATTTTATTAAATAAATTAAATAAATTCTGAATAAGTAATAAAGTCAAATTTAACAAATTTAAGATTTCCACAATTTGCAACAAGAAATGGCAAATATTTTATTCTCTTTGCATACATATTTGTTATCAACATAAAAGTGCGCAGACACTGTATGTCTGCCCGTCAGCAGGATAACGGGAGAACGGATCGAGATAATCGAAATCGGTTTTCGATATGCAAATGACCCCAGGGTGAGGATCCCATACTTTTTTGCGGTCAAGCGGACCACCCCCTCGTCCACAGGGGGTGTGGTCGGGGAAAAATGAGATTTTTTGCAATTTAATCCAGAGATGCAGATCCAGAGAAGTGTTCCAATACATATGTACTAAATACATGCATACGATAATAAAAATTGTTACACGTAAATGCATATGTAGGTATAATAGGTACATGGTCAAGCCATTTAAATAAAAATATTATTAGGTAGGTAATGTATATAAAAATGGATCTAATTTTAATACCTCAAACAAAATTATGCATCTATTGAATTAAGCTGCAACTATTAATGTTGAGATTATCTATGCAAAACTAGTTTATGTATAACCTTAGTAGTAAAATTGAGATATCGTGCATTTTTTGTTAAACAATGTCTACAAAAATGTCTCTAACTTAAATGCATCGACCATAGTGCTCCTTGATCAGTACATATGTATGTTTAGAAGAGCATAGTTCACCTAAGTTCCTTGTTTACTACCCAGTAACGCAATTATACCGGGGTGGAAAACTACCAAACTAATGACAAACTAATCACTTTTATGACGGAAGTGGTATCAATTAGTACCCAAATCGAAGCCTATCTTGCTTGACCGACTGCCCCATAAAAGCGATTTTACTCTTCAGTACAGCAATCATTCACTCTTCGTCTACATCTTCAAACTTGCAAACATTTCGGAAACTTATATCCTGTTAGAGCGTGGTCATAAAATCCCTAAACATGAAGCTCTTACTGGTTTTCACCATTTGTGTAAGTCCGAAATATTTTACAAGTCTATATAAGGGACATCTCTGAGCGTATACTCTCCAATTTTGAGCAACAAAATATTCCCAGTTTATCACAATTTAATTGGCATGAAATTTGCAAATAATACCATCTCTGAATGGGCACGTTTGGCAGAGACATTTGTATCCGAAGAGGTGAAAACGCAGTAAATTTGGAAACTGTAAAGTGTGTCAAAGTCAGGAGGACGTGTTTTCTCCTCTTCGGATGCAAACGTGTCCATCGGGTGATCGTCTCGTTTCAAAATTTCATATTAATCAAATTTGTGATAAATTGGGAATATTTAGTTTGCTCAAAATCGGAGAGCATAAGCTCGGAGAACTCAATTATAAATAAAGGGTGTTGATTTAATTCGTCCCGATTTCTCTTACCAATATTTGAAAATTTGCAGCTAAAAACGAGTGAAAACTTCGAGGCATTTTTTTACTGTTGCTGATTAGATTTTCGGAAATTTGTCAGTATATTGATCATTTTTCCTTTTTACTTTGGGCCAGTGTTCATATATTTGTGCATGGTTCCAAAAAACTTTCAGGGCTAATTAAATGAACACCATTAATTGAAGTAAATGTAATCATGTATAAAATCAGAGTTCTCAGAATTAATATGTAGAACCTTTCTCCTTTTTTAAGATTGTATTGGTCCAATGTCTTGTTCCATCTTTGGCGGAAGAGGTTTCTCGTGAGGAGAGGAAAGTAAAACCGAACTCGCCCGGAACCGGGAGTGGGAGTCCTCCGCGTCAAGCTACGACAGCGGGCCCCAGTCGTTCCCGACTCCCGCCACAACCCGGTCCACCCCCAAACCGCCCACTTCCTCCACTTCCTCGCCCAAGGCCGGATTCTCCTACTTTAGGCGGCAATCACTGATTCAATTCAAAGTTTCTAAAAATTGAATCCATTTCAAATCCCAAAATTTTTAAAAGACTTTGTAACCCAATTTAAAAATTTGAAAAACGTAATAAATCCATATTGAAATCTTAACCTTAAATAAACCTTAAATGAAGTTAATATATTGACGAATATCTGCTAAATGCATAAAATTTACTGCCACTTTTTACAAAAAATAACATTTATGTATGCATATCACTGGTTTTTACGTGACTCTGGATAATGGAACGACAGATTTTGTACCAAAATCGTTAAAATTGATATGTGAGATTTAGGAGCGCTTCACATTTTATTGTCGAACTACCAGGTTTTCTCTAGATTCTTTCTAAAATCGTATTGTAAGTTATTTCCCCGGGTGTGGTGGGTCGCCTGAGATGAATGACGTCGTTTATTTAATTCCAGTTCCTCCACAACTGGAAGGTATTTCTGCGAACTCAATATTTTCGAGAGGTTTGTAACACCTCTTCTTGTTCATCCAAACATGAATGAATTTTTATAATTTTTTCCACACTTGAGCATGAACATCTGGGGGACATTGTCAGAAAAAATTAGTACCGAGAAAGCAACACCAAGAAAGTTTCAGCAACTTTTGTGCGTGAGTATGAGGATCTTTTGCTGTGGTCAGGAACTTTATTAACACTATGTATATGAAGAAATCCTTATTACATACCTTGAGGCGTAATAACCCAGAAATGGAGTGTCTCCTTGAAATAAATAAATCAATCATAAGTGAAACGTAAGAGAAACCACTATAGTTTGCACGATTAGGGAGTGGACGAATTAGAGCTTTTATACTGCGATAAAGATAATCAATTGGTGTAATACTAATGCAAACTTCTGGAACACATGAGGTAAACATAGAAAAGTAGAGTTTCCCAACGGGTTCGAGTCGTTATCGGGTTTTTATCGGGTTCGGGTTCGGATTCGGATTTACCTTCGGATTATCCGAAAACCCGATTCAAAATTGAGCGATAAGATTTAAGTCCCAATAAGTTTTTTTTAAACATTACGAGTTGTTTAAAATAAGTTGTGATTCAATTAATGGAACGTTCATAAAATATGTAACCAAACTTTAATAATTTCTGAGTCTTCCTTTACCATTCCATGTACACATGACGGGATAGAAATTTTAACCTGGGAAAGATTGGCAACCTTATCTAATTCTTTCTGCCTTTCTATCTTGAGTTACATATTTTATGACGGTTCAACAAATATTATGACAATGGTATATAATATACCCATGGGTGATGGATAATAGTAGGGGTGGAAACAAAAGTTTATGCAGTAGAAGGCTGGTTTCTTTTTTGACAAAAAATAGAAGTTCTAAAATTGAAGCTCAAAGTTGTGATTTGTTATTACTAGTTGAGCCATAGTTGGAAAACAAATTCATTAATACACAAATGAGCTTATGAAATTATTTTATGCTTATCGGGTACTTATCGGGTTTTGGGTTCGGGTTCGGATAGAGCTTATCGGGTTCGGGTTTGGGTTCGGATGAAGGATTTCGTACCCGTTGAGAAACACTATAGAAAAGGTACCTGACTGCTCCCCGAGTGCAGGATACCCACCATGTTTTTTTCAGAATTTATTAACAATGGAACCTATTTGGAAGCTACACTGGGATTGTGTTAGTGACAGTTATGTCAAAAAATCAAGCCAAAAATTAGGAGTCACATGAAACTTTCCCTTCTGTTGAAAGACCGCTTTAAAAAAAACCTGAGGGTCAAAGTTCGAATTCCTCCCTGGTTCTCCCCCGTGGAGGAAAAAGCAAGAGCAAATGTGCCCAAAGACTGAACTTAACCGCTCGTTCATAATTTGTAAAAAAATTCATTAATCATTGAACATTTATTCATTATTCACTATTCATTTCATTCAAAATTTCAATTTCAAAATTTCAATCAGAATTTCTCAACTTTCCTTATGAATTAAACATTGAGAAAAAAATTAGTGATGAAAAAATATTCATTCACACGAATTGAATAGATATTCATTCAATATTCACTTATTAAAAAATCAGAATAAAATCATCATTTAATATTCGTTCAATCTGTGAATATTGAGACAATAATTTATTTATTCATCAGTAAATGAATGGATGTGAACATGTACATATGGATAGAAGCAAATTATTTGCAGGTCCCTAATCATCCATTGCAACAATTCTACTTGGTTCCAGTAAAGTAACCCCATTCTCCATTACAACAGGGCTTGGCTGAAGTTGAGGAGGACTAGAAACACTTTTAATTACTGGTTGTGGAACTTGACCATCAGTCGGGGATCTATAATGCCGGGTATTCGGAGTTAATGATGAGACCTGGGTTTTGGTTCTGGGTGGATCCCTTGTTTCTGAAAAACGACAAATTTTTATTTACAAAAATTCTTCTGGCAATTGCGTATTCGACCTACCAGTTCCAATGACTGCAATAAACATGATTATTGCAGTAATAATGATGCAGTGTGTAGAATTCATATTTGCGAAGAAGGTGAATACAACTGGAGCGACCTAACTTGACCAGACGCTTAAATATATATGCTCGTATGTGTGCTGCATTTTGTATTATTAATTGTTAAATAATTACCACATCCGGAATCTAATCTACCTCATTAACGAAATGTGGTTGAGAGTGGAACAGTAATTAAAACCATAATTAGATTTAAGAAAGTCGAAAAGCATCCCTACGAGCAATAAACTGGTGCCGTTTGGATACTGGCACGTTCTTTTTTCTTGTACAAATACGACATACGTATTTCTCAATTGGTACCAATCAGGTACTAATTGAGGTATGTATACCTGATTCTACTCAAAGTGGAGTAAAAAACTGGAACACACAACCAGAAGGTAGAATAAAATCAAGGGCTGTGTAAAACTTTCCCAAAGTTGTTTAAAATTTGTTCACTGGGTAGCTAAAATTTGCATAACGTTGAATATCGGTTGCGCAATACTCTTTTTTACTAACCTTGAGTAAATTGTACTCATTTTTATTTTGAGTGTATTATCTGGTCACGATACTATCGTGACCAGGTCCTGGTGCTGCCGGTCCCACGGTCTGGCATGTGGGCACGTCCACATTCGCCCTTATCGACGGATACCCACTGGGCTTGCGGGTCATTTAGGGCCGAATGCTTAACGATGGTGGCCCTTTGTAAGCCATCGGTGACAGAATTCCTTGATTCCACTCCTCCCCCTCCTCCTCTGCGTCGTAATTTTATGATTCGGTGCATAATTTGCGTCCGTTTGTTGTAGCAAATGAGACTCAAAGTAATTCCTGAGATAGTGGATGAGAATAAGGTCATCAAAACTATGAAAAAAGTAGCTGGCCGGTATGTTTCACCTCCCACCACCTTCCCCTAGTTACGCCGCTGTTTACGCATTCTGCTGAATGCGTAGCAGCGACGCAATGTAGCATGTACACTACACTGTTTTAAGACTTAAAATTCATGATTATTTCATACGCTATCCAAATAAATGAAAGGTGGTTTTAAAATCGAAATAATTAAATATGTATCTGCAGTTATTTATCTTGCTTTTTATTTATTTGAATATTGGATCAAATTGTTTACACATTGTGTATAACTTGTGTTAGGGATACTATAATTTGTGTTTGATTTAGCTTCTCTTTTTAATTGATGCTGATATCCGCACAGTTCCGGAAGGTTTGGGCTGGAGCTGCAGTATAGCAATTGTTCCAGTCTGCAGAAAAATGAACAATTATAAAAAGATTTACTCTTAAAAATATGCGACTTGTAAATTGATGGGAAGTCCATGAGTTAGAATGATGATCTTTAGAATGATTTGTTGTATAAGGGATTTAATGAATTACCTGGCGCTCCATTAGGATATGAGGTCCTAAAAAATTATGTGATTAGTCTTTTTAGAATTTAAAAAATTCTGTGTCTGCTACATAAATACACGTTCACATTCATTCAATATTCAAAAATTGAATGATTATTGAATGAACAATGAAGCAGTGGAATAATTAATAAATATTTTTTCTTTTACAAATTACATATGAATGAGGAATAAATATCTTTCTCAAGGCTTTGAATGAATGAACTTTGAATGCATAAATATTTTTTTTAAATTCAAGGTCTGCTACATGGATCAATTTAGGTCCAAATTGACTCATATAGTTTACGCTATACGCCAAATAATACAACAATCTAACATTTTTGAGCCTCATTGTATGAACTGTCGTCATCTTAATTTTATCTTTGGATTTATCTAAGGGTGTTCATACCTGTAAGTCCACCGGAGGGTGCACCTGCTGCACCTAACTCCTGCTGGGAGCTGGAGGCGGACGGTGACAATGTCATTTGGTGGGGCAGGGTTGTCGAACGGGATGCAGACTTGGTATTCTCCTCTCAACGGCTGCGAGGCGGAGACAACTGGAAGGAGGTTGAAGCAGTTATCGGTCTCTTGCTCCTGGGCACAAAGCTCCATTTGGAAGTGACCTAAATACAAGAGAAAACGATTCCTAAACATTAAGACACGCTCTTAATAATCCTGTAAAGTCACGCAGGAAACCTTATTTTTAATAATGCTAGAACAAGACGTTCTTACCAAAATGGGCGTTGTCAAGGCCGGCTTTGATTTCAATTATCTAAAAAATATGTTTGGTGAGCTTATAATTACTTAAATTTTAACCGGTTTTAGCTAGCCATTTAATATATATTGAAGCTACTGCTTACCGATCCGGAAGTATAATTCCCGGTAAGAACGCCTTTGTCGTAAATACCACCTTGGGAAGCGTCGTAGTTACCAGCGGCCTCTCCACACCTTGATTAAAACAAATAAGCTAATTTTGGTTTTTAAAAAATTATAAAACTTCATAACCAGAAGCTTCTTGTTTTTTAAAAACTAATATTCTATAAGCGCCAGCTCACCTTCCACACTGACTGTATTGGAGGTCCTGATGAACATTGTTGCACCAGACTCCTCTGAAAGATTAATTTATTAATTACCGAAAAAAATATAGTCAGCATTGAATTGACTCACGATAGATGTCTCCCAACGTATGCTCACAGATTTTGACCAAATTAGCATCAATCGATCACAAATATAATTAGTATCAAATTTGCAAATGGCAGTATCTGCGAATGCTCAGGTTTAGCGGAGATATTTTCATAAAAAGAGGGGAAAACGCACCCCAAGGCTGGCAAATTTTAAATTTTCTCAATTTGCTGTGGATTTTTCAAGCTTTGGATGCAAATGTCGTCGCAAAACCTGCGCATTGGCAGATACTTCCATTTGCAAATTTCATGCTAATTATATTTATCATCCATTGACGCGACTTTGGCCTAAATTTGTGAGCATGTGTTGGGAGACCTCCATTGTCAGTAATCCAAATACAGCGTAACTTATTTTAGATATGTAGCATACCTTGTCACTGGCTTACTTACTTGTTATCATACCAATAAGGTGGATTGTAGGGGAGATTGGGGTCCAAATGGATGGAGGTCCTGGCCAAGGGTGTCATGAGGTAGCCATGAGGTTCCACATAGCCAAGGGCTAAGGCAAGAACGATAGCAATTGCAACAGGCTTCATTTTTGTGATATTTAGTTATTTATGATATAGTATGAAATTTATGACACGTACGATGCCGTATTTATACTAGGTAGTTTGAAGTGGTTGTTATATATTATCTGAAAAATGTGTTATTCTTCAGTCATCCATCATGTTGTAATATTATTCTTATTTTTCTTAGGTGGGGCTATAGTTACGTAAAAAACACCTAAGTATGCATTCAACACGGTTTTAGAAGCGACCAAAAGCCATAACTTTGCCATTTCTTGACCGATTTTAATGAAGTGTCCTTAGTCAATTATGGCAAAGTCATATTTTTGAATGTAGAGAAAAGTCCACACATAATATTTCCAGGAAACCAAACAAGTTAACATACACTGCCGAGCAAAAGTCATGGGCGAAGATTTTTCATAAACTTCAAATCTCAAATTCTCAACAATGTATTTACATTTCGACTAAATTATCAATAAGTTGGCCTGCAGTAATTTATTTTCAATTAAAAGTTACAAATTAACTTTTTAAGCAAAAAAGGATTGTTTAGCTGAGACAAGAAGTGCGATTAAAAGATGAAAATAAATCACCATCAGAGCAAGGATTCGTATTTTAGACATCGCATCCCTCGGATTAATTTCTTCGTGCAAATTGTAATTTATAAATATCTAGGTAAATGAATAAACATACAAACAATCGAATTTGTAAGATTTCCCGGCTTGCTTAGTACTCCTGTAAATTTCTCGCCATTGCATAATCATAACCAAAAAATTTAGTAAAATATCTTTCTTCATACTACTTGAATCAAATTTATATAATTACACTCTTAGAAATCGGGTTACGATTAAATATAACCAAAAAGTAAACATATAAGACTCTACCGCCTTGGTTATAAATTTGTCATCGAGTGGTTACAATTGTCACCGATTAATTATAAAGTTTCACCGGCTTGGTATTAAATTGTCACCAGAGCTAATAAATTTATAATCAGTTGGTGACAAATTCATAACCATGGCGGTCGAGTCATATAGATACGTTTACTTTTTGGTTATAACCGCAACCTCATTTCTAAGAGCGTACGAAACCCAAGAAATTATTCCTAAAGCGGTGATGTTAGGAATACGAATACTTTCTCTAAGAGTGGTTTATTTCCAAATTTTAATCGCACTTCTAGTCTCACCTAAGCAATCCTTTTTTCGAGCTTAGTTTCTAATTATAATTTGCACTCAGTGCAATTGCACACGGTGCAATGTTTACGAAACTCAAATCGCATGATGATCTGACTTTATCAATCTTGTACCAAGTTCTCATTTGGCACTTGGTTGGCACGTCGTGTCGGAATGTTATGAAGTATTTCAACACTTGGTCCACACTGGTGCAAAGTCGTGTGCAAATTTGATTGTTCTTTACAAAATGATCCATCAAATAGGTAAATATTACATACATTCAAGCATACTGCTAAATGATGTTGTGGCACTTGAATTACTTAATTGAAACGTCAGAATTAATCATTTACACACTGCATGTACATACGTACGTACACTGCATATACGTACTTATTTACATACCTGTATATCAAATATTTGTGAGTTGGATCGCAATTTAACTCTTATCAAGTAGGTAATTAATTATCAGTTTTATTGTATAATGTATATTTAAACTAGCCTATAAGCCCGTCTTAAAAACGGCCGACATACGTGTATATACATAGGATAGGCAATTATGATAAGGAGTACTGAACTCCCGAACTGGTGTGGTGTAATCTAAAACGAAATTAAAATTTCAGGGCAAACATCAAATACCTATGTTCAGTAATGCAGGGTGGTTTAAATGTCAGGTTCCAATGGAAAATTTTTAAATAGGAAGAATTCGTAAATTTCCAGTAGTTATAGATTTGGGATTTGGGATTGAGATTTTTATTAATTTTTATCATAAATTATGGAACACTGATGACAAAATTCTTAAAATATTGAATTTCAAAGACAAAATTTAGATAACGAAGGGAGATTTCCGAAGTTTGTCTATTGAAAATTTGACCTTCTAACCTGACATCTAAACCAACCTGTACGTAAGGTCGATGTATTTATGGTTTTAAGCAATATTTAATGTTGCTAAGGATCGGTTTTAACGCTACGAAGGAAATTTTATAACGTTGCTAAGGACTTTTTTAACCTTGCTAACGAAGTTTTTAGTGTTGCGATGTCACAGAAAATTTGACGGGACGGACTTTCCTAAATTATAATATAGATCTTTAAATTTGCGTAACCAACCAACTGCTTGGAGAAGTATGTACCCATAAAGATAAAATTTTCGTGATCACACTTTCTATCAGTGTAATGACAGGTATAAAACTACGGTTCTGGATGTGGATTACATCAGTCGTTCGCAGAGGGTCCTCCAGCTTGCTTTTTTTAGAGAAACTAATTAAGAACGAATTTCCAGGAAACATGAAGCTCTTCGCAATTGTCCTGTTGGCCATGGTGGGGTCTGCGTTGGGGGGCGTCGTTACTTTCGAGAGATGCGGCGGCGTAGGAACTCTTACGCAGCTAAGAGTAGAAGATTGTGAAGGATCAACTTGCCGTCTGGTAAGAGTTGAAGGAAAAGGAGTGTCCATTAATTGCGCAACTTTTGGGAATTTTTTAATTTAGCGAATTTTGAAGGCACTTCATAACAAATAAAAAGAGTTGAAATTTCTACTTTAACTCAGGCTGCATAAACATTTTTGTTGTCCGTGGTTTCTCATTAGGGGGTGATGCAAGGATGATTTTTTTTTCGAAAGAATCAAAAGTTCGGGAATGGCATGCAATTTTGCCATGGTAACTAGCTAAATTCATGGCAAAATTGCATCTAATTTCTGAACTTTTATTTTAAAAAAAAATCATGCTTGCATTACCGCCTTAGAAGAAACCACGGACAACAAAAATGTGTATGCACCCTGAGTTAAAGTAGAAATTTCAAGGCTTTTTAACTGCCTTCAAAACTTGCTATTTTTGAATTTTTTTTAAAAAATTTCCCAAAAGTTGCCTAAACAAAATGGTTATGCACCCTGACTTAACTCTAATTTGACCAATTCTTTAGAATCCTGGCACCCCATATGTAGCTGAAGGAGACCTGATCCCGAGCAGCGCCTCCAGCCAACTGCATCTCAAGGTCACAACTACTTATTTCACTGGAGAAGTAACTATTATCGATACGAACCTGGACAACTCATCCGTCCAGCCAGGACAAACTTACACTATCAGATTCACCATTGTTCCAAATGATGTCTTGGCCGGAAGTACGCTTCCCATTAGGGCGACAATTTCAGACGTAGCTACTGCACGTGTAGAGATTTGTGCTCACTTCCAAGTCTTTGTAAATTTTCCCTAAATTAAACACATATCATCCTGTTTTCTAGTTTTCCGAAATTCCAAAATACCAAATGACTTATTGTAATTAGTAATTAATTTATGATTAATGAATCTTATAAATTTAAATTTAAAACGATTAAAATATTTTAGTTCTCAAATTAACAAACTGCTAATTGTGCCATGGAGTTGACACCAATTTGTCAAAACTGATAGATTTTAACACTTGCATAAAGGCCGAAATGAAATGAAATACTTGTGGATTTTGGCAAATCTAATGAATAGGTGGCAGTTAAAATTATTACTGAAATAATTTGCAATGTGGTAATTTGTCCGTGTCTAACAAGGGACACTCACGACCTGTCGTTTGAGTCCAGGGAACGCACTATGTTTTTAGAATCTACTAGGACCCCAGATGAAGGATTCATTCATATTTCCGTGTAAAACTCATATTTGGAGACATGGCGTGGCGCCAAATTCGCCAAATTTGATGGTTTTTTCATTTTAAAACCGCCGTAACTTTTGAAATCCTGGACGGATTTTCAAAATTTTTGGCAAAAATCATGACAAGGAGTTCAACTTTCGTATTCTATGAAACTTTTTCCAAAATTATCGCTTTTAACTTTTCGCAAAATTTCGAAATTTCGGGTTCGTCGAACAAATGCTAAAAATATCTCAAAAATTAAAATTTTTTTCTCTAAAATTTCGACTTTTCTGATCATTTTGAGCATAAAATTTTAAAAATCCGACATAAACTGCAAAAGTTATGGGGGTTTGAAATTGGTCGAAAATGCAAATTTTTAAGTTTGGCGCCACGCCATGGCGCCAAATATGAGTTTTAAACGGAAATATGAATGGATCCTTCATCTGGGGTCCTAGTAGATTCTGAAAAACATAGTGGGTACCCTGGACGCAAACGACAGGTCGTGAGTGTCCCTTGTAAGTATGCGCATAGATCATTATGTCAGAGATGTTGGTATTAGAGAGCAGAGGTCGACGCCGCCGATCCCACGCCGCCGCGCCGCCATACGCCGAAGCATTTTACGCGCCGCCGCCGCCGAAAAATTTGACTTCCTACCCCTTTAACATTGTGGGTCCCGCCGACGCCACCGAAAAATCACCAGAAACTGGCGCCGCCGCCGTCGAAAATTTATCGGCGTCGACCTCTGTTAGAGAGTAGTTATTAATAACAGTTCGTAAAAAAGTGGTCCCATTAAATGTCAATCCATTTTTTAACGTATGTATTTCGCATGCGTTTCCTGTGGTCGGTTTTCCCACGGCCCCTGGGTGGATTGCATCACTTTCTCCGGGAGAGAGCAACCACTCACCACCTGTTTACCAGCAGGGGCCGCCGGCGCAGCATCTATTAGCATATGCAAAATTGCATTCTGGGGGTGGAATTATAAATGCCGTAACCTGCTTACTTTTAACTTACGCTATCAAAATAATCCCCACATGGTGCATGTCGGATCATATCTCATTCATTGAAAATTGGTCGGTAAACTTGTTTATGATTTATTTATTGCCAGAAAGTTTTAAATAATAAGTACATTATTTGCATACTTGCAACCATATGTCAATAGTCTGGGTGAGTATGTAGGGTAATTTTTATATTACTTATTTCCCAAATAATACGTAGAACCAATCTTGCATCAGAATTTAGTATGTCACATATTAATTTTGCTGGTACATAGGTAATCCCTCAAAAATATACATGTCAATTATTCTATTGTATTAGTAATTTAACATTACATATCAATGCGAATTATATATGATAAATTTAGAAATTGCTCATATTAAATAAATACAATTTAAATTTAAAGAGAATTAAATCATTTAAATACCAATAATTTCTAATCATTAATAATTGCTAATCCTACTTGGCTCGGTGTTAGTACGGGGTAGGTATCTCCTACATCATGAATGCATATGGGTATGCTAGGCGTGATGTCACTAATCTGCTCCACTACCCGAACAGCTGTGTTCCGTGGCTCTGGTGGCAGCAAAGTGATGGGAGATCCATGTAGAGCACCCAATCTCTACGTGATGAGTCCGAAACTCAACAGAGATATATGGTATAGAGCCTAGGACGACGTCACCTGTGGTAGAACAAGCTAATCGCTTGAACAGGGAAAGACGGTAAATAGGTTCATTTTCATTTTCATTTTCTGCAATGATGTCATAAATATTATTTGCTACTGTTCAGGTTCCTAATATGTAGGAATATGAATGTATTTGGAGTTGGAATATGTAGATTGCATTGTTTTGTCAGTCTGCATTTAAGATGCAGATTTAGCGCAATTTACATAGGTATTTCAGTAGAAACATGCAAATCAATGTATATGCGGAAGTGATGGCAGGTATGTTACGCTGCATCGCTTTCACATCTTGCAAACTCATCTTATGTAGATTCAGTTGTCCAGTTTTGCAGTTTTCTAAACAGGTAAAATGGTAGTAAGTTATGTATGCATGTATTTGTTCCAATGTTGAACAAACAACGGTATTTATGTAACTTACATAACTTGCATAACTTGCAAATAGATTTATTTTTAGTTGGAAAATGGAATGTATTAGTTAGCATACACGGGTGCTTTTCCGTCCGCTCTGCAGTATAAAGGTAGCCACGGACCAGAGCCCGCGTAACGCCCATTTAATATTTTTGTAACACAGGGTTGTTCTGCACAAGAGTGAATCGCAAGTCTCAAATTGCCTCAAATGAGAAATTGAGATTGCAAAATTATTAGTATCAAATTACCCATAGGAATTGTATCAGTTTGCCAATAAGAAATAGTTGTATCACAATACCCCATATTAACCATTAATAATAGAAATAGTTTCATGCAAGTTTGTATTTACTAATGAATTAAACCAGAAATAAACCAGTTACTATTAATTTAAAATTAACCAATTGAAGTTGTCTACGAATCATTTACACAACATAGAGCTTTATGCTAGAATTTGGTGCACAGTAATTCAAGTTGTGCTACACTTCAACATACACACACTCATAATTAACTAACGTGAATTTACAACTCACGCACCTCTAAGGAATTTACTTACGATTAAAAACATGGTCTCACGAACGGTGCAATTATAAATAAAATTAATAATTGTGAACATACATATAATCGATATAAGTGAATTTCTTCGTGGTGATAAAATTATCAAACATCCAAATTGAGTGACTTAAGTGTTAGTTAGCGCAGTATTTAGTTTTTCGTGAATTATTAGTGCCAAGTTCAAAGAGAAAAATTGTTCTTGCTACATTGGATCGATTCTTTAGTCATCCAAAAACCACTGGAACTGCAAAATCATTAAAATCTCTAATCGATGCGACAAACCGATGTATCCGATCAATGAAATTAATGGGATACAAGAAAGATAAGTCAATTGAACCAATTTATGTGCATCAGATTTTGAGTAAACTGGATCCTTGTGCAAAAGATTTATGGGAGCATACATTGAAAGATAAGGACATGCCTAGTTTCGATGAATTATGTGAATTTTTGGAACGCCATGCTAGTGCATTGGATGAAAACCCTCAACAACAAAACAAACCCAAAGTTAATGTGTATCATACCCAAACACAACAACCTGTCAACAAGTGCGTGCTAGGATGCAATCATTCACATCCAGTCTTCAAATGCAGGAAGTTTCTGGATGGCAATGTCGAGCAACGTTGGGTTATGGCAAGAAGTTGCAAATTGTGCTTTTGTTGTTTACGTGAACAGCATGGACAATCAAATTGTGTTGGAAATTTTAAATGCAAAAAATGTAACAAAGCCCATAATTATTTGCTTCATATTGAAAATGCTCAACAGAACCGAAGAGAAGATCGACCACAACAAGTTTATCATACAAATGTGCGTCGTGATGCTTCTCCTGATCGTCGAGATTCAAGACCTAATGAAGGAACAAATCATGACGAAAACAATTATATCTATCGAGGAGGAAATCCAGGTAGAAGTGAATTGAACACGGATAGGTCAGATTGACTAACAACCAATGAACAGGCTTGCTTGCCAATTATAGCAACAGCCAGAGTAAATGTGAAAAATAATTTGAATGAAAATGTGAATTGTCGTGTGTTACTGGATAATGCATCAACCAGTAATTTTATAACAGTATCTTGTGCGAAAAAACTCAAATTGAAAAAACGAAAAGCCTATGTACCTATTAATGGACTAGGACAAACTGAACTTGGATGTACAAAGGGTAGTGTAGATGTCACTTTTGGCCCGTATTTTGATGAAACCAAATTGTTTAACATGGAAGCTTATATTGTTCCAAAAATTAGTAAATTACCAATGAAGGAGATTGGCAATAGCGTTGTGAGCCATCTTCCAAAAATTAACCTTGCGGATCCAGAATTTCAAACTTCAGCTGAAATCGATATCTTAGTGGGTGCAGAATTGTACTACGAGATAGTCGATGGAGAAAAGAATATGGATTCTTCAACCAGTCCGATCGCAATCAAGTCACAATTGGGCTGGCTGATTGGCGGCAGCAAAACAACCTCAAAGAGGGAGTTGACAATGTGTCATACTCAAACCAATGAATTGGAAAAATTGAACCATAGTGAAAATACGTTGAAATTAGAAACATTAATGAAAAGTTTTTGGGAATTAGAAACATTGCCAGCCTTACCAATTCTTAGTAATGAAGAGAAATTGTGTGAAGTGCTGTTTAACAAAACTGTGAAAAGAGATTGTGATGGATCATTCATTGTCCAATATCCATTTAAAGAACCAAGAATTGAATTAGGAAGTTCGTTATCAATTGCGATACGACAATTTAAACAAGTTGAAAAACGTTTCCCAATGCAAATCCACCCCAAGTTATGTATGTATCACGCCCTACAACAGTAATACCTTCCATTCGGGATTTTAAACCCACCCCCAATAACGTAGCCAGTGAGGTCACGAACAAAATATTTGGCCGGTAGAGAGTACCTCTTTGCGTACCGTTTTCCCACACAGGCTTTGTCCCTGGCTTGCCAATCGTTATGGAAACAGGTCGGACCCTTAACGATGGGGTCGCTACAGCAATATTTCGTCCCAACTAAAATGGACTGCTCAAAGGAAGTTTTGTAACTGTAGCGATAATTATATCTTCTCCCCTGACAAAATCTATCTCTGGATTTCCAATCATTGAACCAACACTGGTGGCTCGGTGCGTCGTCACAGCAGTAATTTCGTTTCTTCTTATCCGTCATTGCGTAGCTGTGCCTTGTATTGTAACGGAGTCCTCGACATTGTTTGTCCCGCTTTTTCCAATCGTTTCCAAAGCATGCGCCATTCGTGAGGCAGATAATAGTTGCAAGAATTAGTAGGAGGAATGGCGTAGATTTGCCCATTTTGTCTCTATAAAAAGATTCAATAAGCTATTTGTTTAATTATTAAGAGGGAAGATATTACTTCCGAACAGGGTTCGGAAAAACCCAGGGTTTTAATCAAAAATTATAAAACCCATGGGTTTTAATGGGTTTCACCATGTTAATTGGGTTTTATTTGGGTTTTAATGGGTTTTATTGGGTTTAAATGGGTTTTATTGGGTTTTATTGTGTTTAGGTAATGACTTAACAAAAATAATTCGGAATTTGTATGTATTCGGAAATTATTTTTGTTTTATAACAATTGACATCTGTGATTCTAAAGGATGGATAACTTACTTGGGCAGATAATTGGCTAATTTTCAACAAAGAATTAAGAAATTGTGATCTCTTTACACTAGAAAAAAATTTTGAGCGATTAGTTGAAAAGTATTCAAAAAAACTTGTGCATGATTATTTGCCGAACGAAATATTTGTAACATAAATATTTACCGATTAGTAAGTAATTTTAACCTTACCCCTAATATATTTCTACAAGCCTGGCTGGGCTCAGAAATATAATTCAATAATATGGTCCTCAATCGGAAGGCAGGCGCTGTTTGGTGAATCAGTCTCAAATCTGGAATGAGATAAATTCCACTTTTATGTCCAAATTTAAGGGTTTATATTTCAATTCGTCCCATACAGAGGTCGACGCCGACAAATTTTCGGCGGCGGCGGCGCCAGTTTTTGGTGATTTTTCGGCGGCGTCGGCGGCGCAGCGCGGCGTCGCAATGTTGAAGGTATAGGAAAGTTTTCGGCGGCGGCGGCGCGTTAAGGCGTCGGCGGCATATGGTCGGCGGCGGCGGCGCGTAAAGGGGTCGGCGGCATATGGTCAGCGGCGTCGACCTCTGGTCCCATATAAGTTGCATGATGAAATGCGGATTACTTATCAGTGGGATGAAGAACTGCTTAATTATGCTTACCAACCTTGTCAATGCGTAAAAACGACGTATTTGTATACGGCATGAAAAGTAAACCCTGGATTAATATGACAGAAAGTTGCACTGAAGATTGATGGCCTATTTTTCACTTTTGCAATGCTTTCGTACTAAATCTACGTATGTATTAAGGAAAGCCACGAACAAAACAAATATGATCTTGTTGACATAGTACAAAGGATTTCCAAGTAGAAGGATTTGGAATATTTATATGGAGAACTACTTACAATGGAGAGGTGTAAGGTGGTTATCACCGATCGAGACCGTAATTTTAAATTATTCAGACCCAGAAATAAGCGGACCAGTATGTTTTCGCTTTCCTGAGTGGGCATGTTCTCGCCTTTGGCTGAATTTTCAAAAAAAAATTAAGCCAAAATCAGGATTTTAAAAATGCTGTAACTTTTCGAATTTTAACTTTTCAGAAATTAAACCCAATTTGTGTTCAGAATTACATCCCTGAAAACATAAAAATTCATTTAAAAAAATTATTTTCGAAAAATTATCGTTTTTTGGGTTACTAAAAAAATTTTAAAAATGAGTTTTCAGATTTTCAAGGACGTAATTCTGAACACAAATTGGGTTTAATTTTTGAAATCGGATTAAAATTCGAAAAGTTTTAGCATTTCAAAAAAATCCCGATTTTGGCTGAATTTGTTTTGAAAATTCAGCCAAGGGCGTCAACTGACCATTCACTAAAACGGAAAAATTACTTATTTTTGAGTGTGAACAATTTAAAATTAGTCCGGTCGCTATAGGCGATAACCACCTCACACTTCCTCATTGTGAGTTATCTCGTTGACGTGAATTAACTTCAGTGCTCAATGCAGTGCTTGTTTAAGCCATTCCCAGAACTTGATAAGAATATTATATAATATTTTACAATATTATATAATATTATATAAGAATATTATCATATTAGGTCTAGGCATCAGTATGTAACGGAAAGCTGTAAAGGTAAATTCCAACTTTAAAATGCGTTCGTATGTATTTGTACAGGATTTACCCATGATAAAAATATTGGGCTTAATTTTCATGATAAGGCTGGATCGATGATTGATATTAGAGTAGGAATTATTCAATTCATCGATATCCACCACTAATTTTAGAATTTGTAATCAAGTATTTCAGTGTCTGATGATTAATAAACCAAATTGTTTGGTGGGGCAATTACCTTGGGGGGCATTATGAGCTTACAACATGGTGTGCATAGGGACACAGATTTCTCTTGGATGGAATTGCACCATATTTATTTCTTGCATTCTATATGTTAGTATCTCCACTCCTGTTAGGCGTTTCCCCAAAGTTCCAATTTCGAAATTTTGAAAAAATCAAAAGAATTTCTTAACGTCCGGACAATTGGGACCGGACCATACGTATTTATATTGTTACAAGAATTAACAGTGGATTTCTAAAACTAAATACACTGATACTACGGCAATGGAAATTTTAATTCTCAAAAATGAAAGCATTTTGCCGGTAACACTTTACCTGAACAGACTGGGTAGTGTAAAAAAAACCTTGTATTAAAGAGACTTACGTCATATTAGCATTGCATACAAAAAAAAGGTCGTCTTTATTGATTCCCAATTTTAGCCATTACATTTGAATTACAAGTGAACCAAACCTCACATAAGTGAGAAATAGATGGTCACAGGTTCCTAACTATGGTGCCCGTAGTGCAATGGACACCGCACAGACCTGTGCAACAAGTCAGAGAGGAAAACCACAAGGGAAAAAACTCTCTGCCAGTACTGGGAATTGAACCCAGAACCTCCATTCGGCTTGAAGCACAGTGTGATGGGGCCACCACTCGGCCACCACTGCCTGCCATACATACGTATTTAGGATTTATTTAATGGAACGAGTCAACTGACAGATAAGAATTATTTTTGCACTTGTGTTGTGAGACTTATAATGGCCAAATATTTATACGCATGCCAAAAGAAAATTGTAACCTTTGAATCCTTATTTACGTTCTTTTCCGCATAAAAAGGTTATGAATTTGGCCAAATGTATTTTGATTCATTATATTTTTATACTTACCAATTCATGTTACCTAATTTCTGTATTAAGTTCAATTAGTCAATTTGTTTATTTAAGTCGTCACCCAATAACATCTAAAATTAGTGCCAAGTGGCAATATAAATCAACACAATCAAATTATTAATATCGACATGAATCCAACAAATGGCGATAATGCGAGTCAAAAAGTTCCGTTTGCTTTAACATACTTCAATTTATCGCACTTCAAATAATTAAATTTTTGTTTATCATAATTTCTCACAAATTCATTCTCACTTATTAATTCATTCTTGTTACTTCTCACAAATTTTGACAAATGCGAAAACTCACAAAGAACTATCCTATTTAACTCATTGGAAGTTATTGGTTGTCATAAAATGTATGGAAAAATGGGGTTCAGCATTAACGAAATTAAATTTCAAAATTCAAAACCCCAAAATTCACCGAAAATCTCCAACATCTTTCGTTCCAATTTTAATTTTTGCTACTACACTGGTCACTGTCCATTCAAAATTACATCATATTTATCCCAGTCTTCAGGATTTTTCTCCAAATTACTTTGCGGAATAACTTTCCTACTCGCATTTATGAAAAAGATTTCGAAACTCATGTTACAGCTGAGAAGCGCACACGGGCAGAATCCAATTGACTACATTTACACTTTAAAATCCGCCGTCTCTGTAGTGACAATTATAAATTTATATTACATTGTTTTCAAAATGAGGACGGAAATACAAAATCTGTTGCACCATTTGGGTCACATGCAAACTAAAAACTGTTGGAATATTGCAAGAATTTGGGATTGGAGACTTAAAATGGTAACTTGGAACGAAATATTTATGGGGAAATGCGTGGTCTCAACGGACCCGTTCTTGGACCGATCCAGTAATGAACTGAGAACCGAAATGGAACAGAACCGAACTTTTTTAACTGGAACGGGAACCGAACCGATCCGAACCGGGCGGTTCAGGTCCAACCAGTAGTTTTGATATGTAAAAGTTAAAGAAGTCCGCAAACTGAGTTAAAAAGTTCAGTCCGCCCGGTTCGGTCCCGTTCTAGAACCGGAACCGAACCGAGGAGGCAATAAAACATCGGTTCCATTCCCCCTACAGAAAGAACCGGCCGGTTCCGGTTCGGTCAGAACCGAGAACCGTTGAGACCAGTAAGGGGAATGAAGAACCCACCCAATTTTTAAGTAAACCATCTCTCAATTCCAGGTTTGCTGCCTCCCGTTCTTATACAGTTTAAGGATGGTTAGCCAAATCTACGCCATCCATGAGGGGATCCTGACAACACTTCCGCCCAAGCGAAGTTTGATATTTGACACAAGTTTTTATGAAAGCTATGTAAATTTTATGACAACCCAGATCACAAATTCTACTACTGCTTCAATTTACCCCGGCTATTTAGACACCTTCTTGGGTTTGGTGGATATTCTCAGTTCAATTTTTAGAATGCATATTGCCTACGATGTGGACTATCTGTTATTTACTGTAGCTTTAGCGTTGTGGGTTCCCTGTAAATATTTTTCAGAAGTATTGAAGGACGTGGAAAATAAGGATGTCTCCGCTTCCGTGGTTTTGGAGATGTTCGATGACTTGATTATATATTCGGGTTTGTTGAACGATGTTTTTTCCGGATTGGTAGCTCCGTACGTATTAGATGTGGTGTTGTATTATTCCATACATCTGATGGACTTGGTAATCGTGCCGTCAATTATGGAGCGAGCCGCGTTAACAACTTCCATCTTATTCACTGTGGCGACTTTTTATTGTGCGGCGGAATCTTGTGCAACGGTTAGTTTTGGTTAAGAAATTGGGAAAACGAGGAAACAATTTTTTCTAAAAATGAATACGCTTACATAAATTCCTGGCAACAAAATTTTAATGTTTAAGATTTACCGAACGAAGGAATTGTGTGTTTCAGAAATTGTTTTTGAAGTATTTTTTGAAGAAGAAATAGTTAACTTGTTACCACGTTTTGTAACCACGAAGTTTACACATATGTATACTTCATTTAAATAATAAAGGTGTTTCATATTGATTTATAATTTATGTTTGCATTCCAAAGGTTGATAGCTTAAAAAATTGGATTTCCAAGGAAAAAAGGAAGCCAGGTCTTACTATTTTAAAGGATCCCGCATCACTATCATCCGTTCGGCAAGAGGTGGCTGATAACTCGTTGGGACTTTGCGGAGGGAGAATATTTGTTTTAAATTATTCATTAGTTGTCTCGGTAACGTACAATTTATCAATTGAATGAAATAATATGATACAATAATTAATTAATTCTTGTTATTAATCGCTTTGCTACAGGTGGTAAACACAATTTTCACAATTTTCATTCTATGTGTGCAGTTTAAGGTCAAGCCGAATGTTATTGTGTGACTTGAACTGCTCGCTGGAAGAATGTCTGTGAAGCCTTGGGTTCCATTGAAAGAGACAATATTCGAAAACATATAATTTAGAATATAAATATATACGTACAGCACCCAAGCACAAATTTAAACCCGGTCGTATGCTGCGCGTCCCGAGGGCTGTAGCTCTTCCGTAAATTGTATTCATACATCTTGTTTATGTAGGCTTATGCGATATAGAATAACTTGCTTTCCAACCGTACTAAATTCGGTTATGAAAAACCTCTCCGGCGTCAGGAAATAATCATACAATAAAAAATAAAAATACAGATTTAGTTGCAAAACCTTAAACCCGCTTCATATTAAAAATTATCTGACAACGAAATCGTGGTGATGAAAGGATTTGACAATAATTTAAGTTCATCCTACATAGGTCCTCTCCTTGCAAAAAAAGCTTAAAAAAATTGAGAAAGAATCCGGACTTGACCATGGTGGGAAAAATTTATTGTAAATCTCAACGGGCTTTTTTGTAATAAATTTCTTTTATTCAAATTATTGCTCAAAATTAGAGAATTTAAACACAATTTACTACAGCTCAAACAAATTATATTCCATACCAGACAATGCTTACCCCTACAGATCGAATTTTTCAAAAGAAAAGAGTGCCACAAAATGAAGAACACGCATAAATTAATTAATTGAACTGGCCAAATAGTGAAAGAAAAACGGGACATCTTAATCATATTTCACACGATTATTCCACAATTCTGCGCCTACCCCATATGGATTGTATGCAAGAACCTTCTGCTTCGGAACGGGAGAGGAGCTTGTCCGGATTTGTTGCAGCTTTGAAATGGGAAAAATGTGTATAACGGTACATAGCATTATTTCTTTCATAGAATACACTCAGAATAAAATGTAGGCAAATTGCTACTGGGCGGTGTCTATATATGACCTCACCGTTTGGTAGCGATTTGCTATAGAATTGTAGTAAATTTACTACCATCTTGCAGCATTTCCTTACTCCGCTGTTACGGTTAGTCAAAATGTGGTAGTAAATTTACTACAATTCCGTATGAAATCGCTACCAAACCGGTGAGGTCATATATAGACACCGCCCAGTAGCAATTTGCTTACATTTTGTTCTGAGTGTATATTTTCAGATTTAAATTTGATTTCTTCTCAAAAATCTACCAAATTAAATCCAAAATTATGTACCTTTGTGATTATCAACTGCTGCTGGTAAGAGTGAACCATCCAAACTTGAACCAATTCGGGGAGGAGGAGTGCCGGTTGGGTGGTCGAGTAGCCGATGCCACGGAATATGAGGAGGACAGATTGAATTTGCAGCCAGGTTGTCATAAATTCCTCATCTTTCTGCAATAATTGATATAAATAAAGTTTTTTTTTGCCAAGCGTGCCCTTTATCTTGATCTATATTATAAGCTGAAAATGTTTGTCTGCAACGGAAGTGAAAGTAATTTTCCGTGAAGGAAGTAAAAATGGAGAAAGTTTCACTTCCCTCGCCAACAGGCATTTCTAGCTAATTAGATATATAGTAAAAAATGATTCGCTGGAATTATGAACAATCCGACTTAATTTTCACGAAAATCAAATAAGCCCTCGCCCGGCGGGTGACGGGCTTATACGCTAGTTTTAAATAATATGCAATGTTTAATTACCGTTTCCACTGCGGTATACAGCCTGCCATGTAAGTATATCATTGGAACGGTGTAGATCCCAACAATTCCCGCCATCATGATCCGCGTGGTTGGAGTCATTTCTAAAAAATCAAAACAGTTAAATTAAATTGAATTCAATGGAGCAAATCAGGAGATAGATTGCCTGGAATGCAAAATTAAGTTAATTAACAATTTAATTAATTAATGAACTAATTTCCAATTCGTACCTTCACAGGTTTTCTTTTCATCTGCCTTGAAAGCGCTGCAAGCCAAATCCCCATATCCACTTACGATGCTGGCAACATATGCGAAAATGGAGACCAGAACGATGAAATGCGCCACCTGTACGACATACCAAAAGAAATCTCAATTGACGCCATAGAATTTGACTAATCATATGTCAAAATTCAATAATAATTAAAAATTTTGTACGTACCACATTTAAAGCGGCGATGACGTAGACGCCGTTTTCCAACGAAATTAGATCACCCATTCCTCTGCCTTCTTCTACCCCGCTAAAAACTGACATTTCCATGTCCTTGATGTGCTAACGGAAATTGAAAGCTGCCTCCAAGATTATGAAAAAAACTGAGCCTCCTGTCTCAGACGGATACTTCGCACGACTGGAGAGATTTGGATGGAGCATTTCACTTCGGTTAGGACTTTAAGTATTTGGAGTTTGGAAGAAGATCCCTCCTTCCAATGTTGGGATACGTACATGTGTACCTTTGTATGGCTCTAGCATGGGTTTGTATTGTATCTAGTGGTGTCAACGGTCCGGCTCGGATCGGTTCTCAGAAAAACCGGTTTAGAGCCGTCAACCGAAATTCAAGAATAGAAACCGAACCGAACTTTTATAAGTGGAACCGCAACCGAACCGTGACCGAGCCGGTTGTGTTTCCATAAAATGCAATATGTGCCACCAGCACTTGGGATTGTAAGTCAAAATTTCATTTTGGGAACTTTGGGGGTGTAACCAAGTCAAAATCAGATTTAGGGAACTTTGGAGGTATACGTTTGCTCAGCAAATTCGGAGAAGTTTTTCGAAAATATAAAATCACTTCTAATTTAAAAGTCCGGTCAACTGGCTGGCTTGGATCGGTTCTCAAGAACAAAACCGGACCGAACTGGAACCGACTGTTCCGGTTCAGTCAGAACCTGGAACCGTGGGGACCACTAATTGTATCTTGTTTTTATTGAGTAAAAATATTTTGTTATATAAGTCAAAGTCACCCGAGGCTGCACTCAAAAAAGGTAAATATAAAAAAGGTGAAGTTCAAGGCCACTGGACGCAATCTAAGCAAAGATTGGGAAAGAAACAAGTTCAAGGCCAGGCTCAGGTATGGAAGGGAAAGTTATTGGGAAGTTTACTAAGAATTAGACCAGCATCAAGAGTGTATACAGAATAAGCGAAGAGACCCTTCTTTTGTTTGTTCCGCATGCACCATTTTCTCATCTAAAGCAGTGCAGTGTGTATGTACATATTTCATCAACAACAAGGGAAGTGAAATTCGAGTTTTGCATTGACTTTGGTCTGCTACACTCTACATAAAAATGAGGAACATTTACTTAAGGTTCTGTAAAAAATAGGATGACACAACCAAAAGGTAAAATTTGCGAAAGTTGTGTAAAATTTGCCCAATGTTGGGAAAATTTTACCTTCTGGTTTTTTATCCTTTTTTTACCCAAGCGTGAGTAAATTTCAGTCAGTGTTATTTAGAGTGCACGTACTTTATAGTAGTAGGGAATCCATGGAAAAAGTTTTGTGATGATTTTGAAATTTAAATTTACTGAACTATGTACGTATCTATCAAACATATGTATTTGACCCGAAAGAAATTTTGTATAAATTATGCATAAATTTTACATTTTTGTTTTCCAAAGTTCCAAAGTTCCAAAGTTTTTCAAAGAATAAATTTCCGTTAGATGTCTCAACTAGCACTGTACGAATTTGTTGTGAATCCTCTCCAGCTAGTAATTTTATCACACGACCAAGACCCCAATGCAAAGGCGTTGTATTATCATCATTAATTATTACGAAAGACCGTAATTTAATGGAAGTTACCGGAACTAACCACGGAACTAACAAAGTCCAATAATTTTTTAAATCGAATTTTGTAGTTTAATTTTTAGTTTGCTTCTCCATGTGGTTTTTCTATTTTTTCCACCATAAGCTCAAATGTCGGGGCAACCTGAGACATTTGGCGCTATATGTGGAACATATAGTATGTTGTCAGGCACTCTTATGGGAAATGTCGGGGGCTCGTACAAAAAAACGGTTGGGCGTAAAGAGATGCCGTAAAGTGCATTAGATGCCTCTCGAAAAGTTTTAAAATGACTTTTTTCTAATTCATGGTATCTTGAACCATTTTCAAGAAATTCAATAAAAACCGATTTTTCGGTTTCGAAATCATAAATGTTTCGCTGAATGAATTGGGTGCATAACACAAAGTTGTATGTAATAGCAAATATGTTCATAACCGCATTATCTATAATATTTACTCGAAAATTTTTTCGAAATAATGCTAGGTACAGGCGGTAAGTTCAAATTTCCGAAAAATTTTGCAATTTCGGCTACCAATTTCTCCACTGAGCTACAGCCTAGACGATACATTTTGGTAACCTAAACTAAACGGGATCGTATTGGGGAAGGTCCCGGCTAGTGCCCTCGACTGATTGACTTTTTCGAAATAAGCCTTGGTTTTTAAGATATGGCGCGATTTCTAAAATTAAAATCCATAACTCATATTTGGTATGAAAAAATAGAAATTTTCAGCGGTTTTGCCGCATAGCTTGTTCTCCTAATTTTGTCATAAGTGCACCAAATGACTTGAAAATTCACCATATTACGTATGCAAAAATCGGGTTCTTTAAATGTATGTAATTATAACAAATGAATTACCCGAAGAAAATTTGTTCCATAGGTGGAAAAGTTTAAAATATTTCGGTGGTGTAAAACAATATGCAATTTTTAATTTATAAGGTTAAAATTTAATAATTTATTCTGGTTTTTTAAAATACAAAAGAATCTCTACGTGTTTCCAAAAAAATAGTGCACATATTATTATCAGAGTGAAATTAGCCGCTTTTCGAAATCCGTATAAATCCGTCAAAAATCCACCCAACATTGGTCCAGCCATACTTCCCAGTGTTAGCGAGCTCATGTACGCCCCAGCCGAGATGCTGGAAGCTTTTTCAGTATTGCAGCATAATTTCCTGGGTTTTCAAAAACATAATCAAAATTATTAAAAACCTCCTACACAAAGTTACCACATACTTAAAGAAGTGTCACCAACTTTAGTATATATTGAGCCTGGAGGAACAAGAGAAAGATTGTTAATCCACATCCAAAGCTTAGAAAACAAATACCGGTTACCACGGCGACGAAATTGCTACAAATATTAAATGATTTCTAGTGTTCATCCAATATTAATAGTCGCAACTTCTTGGAGAATTTCCTGAGTGGTTATTTGGTTGCTAATTGCAAAATAAATAATCTGCCAGGTAACCTTTCAGAATTTTTTGCGACTACTAGTACTGTACGAACAGTAGAAAGTGAATTATTCAATACACTATAAATAATGCAGTCAAAGGCGATATTACCGGCGGTTACTTTCATATGTATGACTTCACTGCGCTAGTAATAAATCTGTTACCGTTGGTATTAAATTTATTCCACACTGGTAATTGTTACTCGTCGGAAACATTAAATTTATTACCAGCGGTAATGAAATTGCTACTTGCCTGTAATTTATTACCATACAAATACGTGAATCTAAACCTGTCAATTCCTATCCCAACAATTGCGCAATTTCCGACCAACTGAGCTGCGAGTCCGATCAGAATAGCCCCCTGAAAAAGGTAGCCACTGCTTCCAACGGCAACCATTAGAAGGCTGGCAACCACGGAGAATGCACTGTAGAGGAGACCCGACCCAGTAAAAACAAATCCAATGACTGATGGACTTGTGGCGAACTGGAAGTCAATTGCGCATTAAATTCATATTTTTATACCAAATATACATTAACCTTGAACTTGTCGGCTACCTCAATTCTTAGGAATGGTTCAATTAAAGCAAAATAGAATGTAATGACAGAGGATGTTAGGAAAATTGCGATAAAGTTTGCCAAAACAGCTGGTTGTTTCCATAGGGAAATATTAATTTCCTCCTTTTCTCCGCATTTTTTTATATTTCCGGGATCTGATGTGTTACTGTTTTCCTTTTTTGGTAGGACGAATGTTGCCACTCCCGCGAATAAAATAAAGAGACAACCCACAACGACAAAAGGAGCAGAAAATCCGCCGAACTGAAATTAATCAAAAACAAATATATCAATCAAAACCTTCAGATATAACTATCGACTGGTCGGTGAAGATAAGTCTCAAGGTTCTCCCTATTTTTTCAACCACATAAAAATTAATTTTGGACATGTAAAAAAGCACAAAAATAGGAAAAATTTGATAAGAGTTCTAAAACTGAAAACAGACTTTGATCTATCACTTTTCATTCATCTCATTCATCTCTTTTCTATCTCTTTTCATTAAAAATGACAACACAAAATTTAGAGGAAATGGAGAAATTAGTTTGCCCCCCGGTCAAAGAAGTTTTACAGAAAAGTTTTATTGCACTTGTTTCGTCCATTCTTTTTTTTGTAGGTAAAAATAACGCGACACTTAACTTCACCGACCACTCACGCTGTAGAAGTTGGCTCCTATTAAAGGTCCCAGAACAAATCCGGCAGGCGTTAAAGACTCCAGCACGCCCTACATGGTATACTAGTTAATGTCGTCAAAAATCCTAAAACTTATATGACATTTATGTAAAAATAAACATAAATTCTTAGCCATAATTCGAGCTGATTTTACCAAGAAGAAAATCCCAAAGCTTCCAGGAAAGTATTCGGAAACAAGGGTAAAAACCGTAGCGAACACCGCACTTGCCGCGGCTCCTTCAATAATCCGCAATATTATGGATGCCCCCAGAAATGTTTGTAAATCGTTTATTTTATCCATAAAACCAAACAAGATTAGCGAGGCTCCTTCCACCAACAAGGAGGAAATTAGGACAGATTGTGCACTACTTCTGGTAGAGTCTATCTAAAATAAGTGTTAAACCAGAGTATGCAAAAAGGCGCCTTTATGGGAAAAAATTCATGGGTTTTTGCCGGTTTGCCCGTTTCAATACCAAATTGCCGTTTTGCGTGCCTTTTTGCCCGTTTGATGCCTTTTTGCCTTTTTGCGTATGTTTCTATTGGGTATTGCCTGAACCATTTCACAAATTTTTCTATGGACAAAAAAGTGTGACAACAATGCAATTGGCTTTACATTTCGGTTGTTCTAAAACGTTACCAACCTTACACTTCTGCACAATTAATCCACAACATTACTTCCTTATATACGCAGTTATGGCCATGACAATTTGGAGTATTTGTGAATAATTGTATACCTCAAGATGTGCATAATTTTTTTAGTGGTGTCGACGATCAACCAAATCGGATTAATAAACATAACTTAATTATTCAGTGAATAATTAAGTTATGATATATCCTGTGAATTGTGAAAGATTAAAACTAACAAATCACGGGATCGTATTATCACATTGCCCTGATTTTACCAAAAAGGCAAACAGGCATTTCG